AGTTCAAGCCCCATGACTGACATAAACAACAAGAACAACAAAATCATAAGCTTCCAACTGGGTGGGGCCTCTGCCAGTTCACCATGCACCCTGTCCTCAGGTCTGCTCTGGGTTGGATTCTCACCCTGTGTGACCTGACATAGGTTGGGAGTGAGGGGAGGGGCCTGGCAAACAGAGAGAGGAGAGGACAGACTTCCCCCTCACAGCCTCACCAATGAAAAAAAAAATCCTTACATAGCTGGGTGCTGGTGCTCACACCTACAATCCCAGCCACTCAAGAGGCTCCCAAGTGAGGATTGCAGTTGGAAGCCACCCCAGGCAGGAAATTCTGTATAAGACTCTGAGCTCCAATGAGCCACCCAAAAGCTGGAAGTGGAGCTGTGGCTCAAGTAGTAGAACACCAGGCTTAAGCACAAAAGCTCAGAGACAGCACCTAGGCCCTGAGTTCAAGCCCTAGGACTGGCACACACACAAAAAAAAACCCAAACCCACAAACAAACAAAAAACCAAACCTCCACCATCCATACCCTGTTTGCTCGGCCTCACCCCTCTTCGCTTCTTTTTGACCTTAGCGTATATGCACCCTCGACCTTGGGCCTGCTCACGTCCTGCCCTCCCGTGGCCAAATCTACATTCCCACTCCTTGTGCCTATAACATGGCTTGGCCCAGACTTCAGATCTTGGGTATAAACCCTGGGGAGGTCTGAGGTTTCTCCACCTCTGTGTGCCTAGAAATCTTGACTTGGGCTCCATTCCCAGTTTCCATGCCTCTCAGGACTGTCTCCCCCACACCCCCCCCCAACTCACCTCCACTGGTCTGGTAGGCATGGAGGAGGAAGGCCATCCACCCCAGCACATAGCTGCACTGCTGCATCTTTGCTGCCTCCACTCAATGCCCTGAGAGAACACAGAAACTTTGCTTCGTCGAGTTCCTTTGCTTTGCCAACTAAAAAGTAAACATTTTTGCTGGACACATACATTTCATGTCATGTCTAGGTATAGAATATATTATGTGATTGCGTGATTATATCATTAGATAATATATGATGTAGATATCATATATATGACAGATGGGTAGAAGGTTGGGTGCCTGAATAGATGGAAGCTTGGATAAATGGAGGATGGATGGGTAGATGGTAAATGGATGATGGATGGATGGATGGATGGATAGATGATGGATGGACGGGTGGATGGCTACAGAGATGGAAGATTTGATGGATGGAGGATGGATTGATGGGTGGATGAATAGAAGACTGGATGGTTGAATAGAAAGTTGGATAGATGGATAGAGGATGGATGGGTAGCTGGATATATGGTTGATAGATGGATGGATGATGGATGGATGGGTGGATGGCTGAATAGATAGAAGATTGAGTGGATGATGGATGTGTATGATGATGGATGGATGATGGATGGGTAGGTGGGTGGATGGATGATGGATGATGGGTGGATGGATGGGTAGATGGATGGATAGATGGGTGGATGGATGGGTGGATAGATGGATGATGGATGGGTAGACGACTGGATGACTGGGTGGGTGGGTGGGTGGGTGGAGGAGTGATTGGCAGGTAGATTGATGCAGGATGGACCAAATAGTAAGAATGAAGAGCATCCTTAACCATGGAAGAGGCTGCCAAGAAGCTACCATGTTCAGAGCAGTTCAGAAGACAATAAAGAACAAACATGAAAGGAGAGAAGAGAATCAGCACATTCTCAAAATACATTTGCTCTTTTTTTTTTGCTAGCTAGTTTAGAGCTAAGAGTCAAATTTTTTGTGTCCAGGCTGGCCTTGAACCATGATCCTCCAGACCTCAACCCTCGGAATAGCTAGGATTATGGATGTGAGTCGCTGACACCCCATCTGTACGTGAGAGAAGACATGTGACGTTTGTCGTTAAGCTCTGGAGATGGATTTTCTCTTTCTCTGGCGTGATGTCTGGGAAAATCCCACCCATGTCAGATGGCAGTGCTCTCCAAAACCACAGCTCCCCCGTTTTTCATCCACTGACGGTGCCACTTCTGGGTACCTGGGCCAGGTGCCAGCCTCAGTCATCCCGAGGCTCAGGGGACAGTGTGCCTAGGCGCTTAACTGTCTCCATGCTCAAAAGAACTTGGGTCTCGCCTGCGTGTTCCAGACACGGTTGTCTGGCTGGTCTGCTCATTGACTGGAACCACCCCCAGAGATCTTCTATTAATAGCCATGACCTGATCAAAATGCTCACTAATGTTCTCCACGGTCCCTCACCATCACCTTTTTCATGCTCGCATAAACTCTCTGTATGACACAAAGGAGCAAGCAGTGAGGAGGATGGGAAGGGGGAGTGGGGAGAGAAGAGCAAGTGCAAAGGTCCTGTGGCAGACACAAGCTTGGTTCATGCAGGACACAATGGCCTGTGCACCCAGGGCCGAGGGAGGGAGGGCCAGAGACACAAGAAATGAGTGGATTCGCAGAGAACTTGAGCTGACTGACGAGTAATTTTTAAAAAGAGCTTTGAGAGGAAGGTCGTGGGTAGACATGAGTTAGTGACTGCCTTCCCTCCTCACTTCAGGAGCTTTGGGCTGCCCTGGGCACACAGGGAGCTGGCTCTGCGATGCTAGCTCCATTTTTATACCATGCATCCTCTGGCCTCCAGCCTGGTGTGAGCCGATGGCTTGTAGCTTCTCCAGTTATTTATTGAACACATCTGGTTCCTTTCTACCCAATCTCTTTGCACATCAGCCACTTCTGCCAGGTGAACCCAATGACAATACATGATAGACCTTGTTCTATTATACACATCACATAATATGTAATATATGATACATACTCTCCATCTATTCAGCCATCCAACCTTCTATCCATTACCCATCCATCCATTGCCCATCCATTATCCATCATCCATCCACCGTCTATCCATCATTCATCCATTATCCATCTGCCCATCACCTATGCATCCAAACCTCCATCCATTTAGCCTTTCTTCCATCTCCCATTCATCCATCCATACCACTCATCTATAATTTCATCATCATCCATCCATCCATCCATCCATCCATCCAACCCTGCATCCATCAGCGTCCCTCCCGCCATCACCGATCCAATGACTTCGAGAGCTCTACCGTTGACCAGACACCGCGGTGAGAACCCAGAGGAACCAGCCACGGGGAGGGCGCGGCGCGGCCTGAGATGGACGGCGCTGGCCGGGGCCTCGTCCTTCCCCCGGACGATAGCCACAGGGCAGTGAGACAGAAACGGCACTGAGTGCTCTGAGCCCGCCCGGCCCGCGGCGCACCTCGACGGCGGCCTGCCATCCGCTCAGTGAGGATGACAACCCAGCCAGGGACGGAGCCCTCGGGGGGTTCTCCACAGTGTGGGGCCCCCTGCTGCCCGGCAGATGACTGCATGCGACACACGCATGCACACACACAAGATGACCGCACGGGACACACACATGCGCATACAATGACTGCATGGGACACACCCGCACACACACACGCACCCGCGCCTCCTCTATTAGAAATGTTGGCCTCTTTGAAGCAGACAAGGACAGAATCTCAGGAAGGAAGGTCTCTTGGGAATCTCAGCTCTCTTCCAACTTGGAGCCTTGTGCTTCCCTCAGGGCCACGACAGTGAACACTCGGGGCCCTGAGGATCTGACAACATGGCCATAAAATGCCAAAGGCAAATCAGTCCTCCAGCCCCTTTCCTTCTTGCCTTCCTCCCCAAACCCGAGGCTCACGAAGACTCCCTCAACATGGTAATGTCCAAATAATCCACCTTCATCATCCACCCCCAGAGCATCCACACCCAACCCCTCCCCTTTCTCATTTCCCTTGATTTGTTTTGTTGTTGTTTTTTTTTTAAACTCCCAGAGTCTGTGTGTCTGTCTGCCCCCATCCACTCTTGTCTCTGAGGTAGTCCAGGCTGGGTCCTAGACACTTACCCGATTCTGAAGGTGAGGTACAGCCACAGAGTCTAAATGATCTCAGGAATATTTTAAATGCATAATGTGTTTTTCTTTGAAATGGTAATAAGGCCGGGTGCTGGTGCTTGTGCCTGTAATCCCAGCTACTCACGCCTGTAATCTCAGCTGCTCGGGAGACTAAGATCTGAGGATCGAAGTTCGAAGTCAATCCTGGGCAGGAAAGTCTATGAGACTCTTATCTCCAGTGAAGTACCCAGCCGTCAGAAAGGTAGCTGTGGCTCCAGCAGTAGAACACCAACCTTGAACAAAAAAACTCAAGGATAGTGCCCAAGCCCTGAGTTCAAACCCCAGGACTAGCACATGCACAGGTACACACATACACACACACACACACACACACACACACACACACACATATACAGGATAAGCCTGTGTATCATGGGTTCCACTAGTCTAAAATATATATGTATATATGTATGTGTATATATATATATATATATATATATATATATACTCACTACCCAACTTATGAAATGGCTACAACACCTTAATAAAATTATATTAATAATAAAATTATATTAAAAAATCAGTTACACTGTTTTTTTCCCTTTTAAATATAGATCTATTAGGAAATATACATAGATCTATCTTAAGATACATATATATATATGTATACATAGCTATATAAATATAGCTATAGATGTTTATATATATATACATATATATATAGAGAGAGAGAGAGAGAGTTCCATTCCTGTTATATCAGAAAGTCTGGAACCCCAGACCCCATTCCTCACAACCCCCCCACACCCAGATATCTATACCTTTAGAAGAAGAATCCTTCTTGGGCCTAGTGCATGCTCTCTCTCTCTCTCTCTCTCTCTCTCTCTCCCTCCCCCTCTCCCCACCCCTGCCCCCTCTGCACTGATCGTCTTTGAAGTTGTGCTCACAAGATCTGCAGGTTGAGTGGGAATAGGCCAGGCCAGGCCAGGCTATGAACAGGAGGCTCGTGCCCCCCACCCCCCCCACCCCCGCTTCCCGAATGTGGCCAGGTCACTGCAGGCTCTGAGGGCGTCACCTCAGGGCCGATCCACCATGGCCCCAGGTGAGCCACAGTCCTCCTAGGACACCATAAACCGGTCATGGTGGGTGGAGGCCCGGCGGGGGAATGTGTCCTGGAGGCTGTGGCCTCCTCCTGGCCAGGTTCTGGCTGAATAATGACAGCCCAGTTCTCTACTTCAAAGGACCTATGTCCAGGCATCGCCCATTTGTCCCGAGGCCCCGAGGGGGACTCGATGCTTGTGTGAGCCCCGGCTTGAGGTCTCCTAAGATTGAGGAGAGTAGATGGGGAGAAATGGGAGGAGGCGAAGCAGAAGGAGGAAAAGGAGGGGGTGGAGGGGAGGATGAAGAGAAAGGAGGGTAGGGGAGGAAAGAGAAGATGGAGTGGAGTGAGAAGAAGGGGGCGGAGGATTAAGAAGAAGAGATGCAAAGGGGGAGGAGAAGGAGGAGGAGGAGAAGACTTGGGCCAAGGAAAGGGGAAGCTATAGGGCAGAGGCTGGAGTTGGGGCGATGGGAGGAGACAGAGGCTGAGGTCGATCTCCAGGACTGTAAGGCATCCAGGGTGGGCGGCTGAGCACCCGGGAGGGCCATGGTGAGCGGAGGGTTCCTGTGGCTCTGGGTCTACCTGCTCCCCTGCATGCTGGGAAAACAGTACGAAGGTGAGGACCCCGGTCAGGGGGCTGGGGGAATGGTACTGAAGGGGAGAGGCCGCCAGGGCAGGTGGTATTGGGCTTGATTGGGCCTCTATCGGAGGCCGCAGTCACTCCAACTTCAGGAGCCCCTCAGAAAGGAGAAGATGCTCCTCATCCTCAGGAAAAAAAAATGGGGGAGAATCAACAAAGAAAACAGAAGGAGCCGGGATAACTAGAATGACTATTGGAATATTACACAGGCAGGAAGCAGGAGACAGGAGGCTCAATGGTCATGGGGGCGGACCCAGGGCCTTCTCTCTCACAGATGTTTTAACATCCCGATGGGGATGTCCTATCCGTTCGTTTTTATTCCTGGATTAACGTCACATTGCCTTGAACAGTTCTCAGGGGCCCATTGGAAAGTGGGGCTGAAGTCTGGGTGCTTGCCTTGGTGATGCTGATAAGTACTGTGCACAGCTGTGCGAATGATTGATTGATTGATATTTATGTCGGTCGTGGGGCTTGAACTCTGGGCCTAGGCGCTGTCCCTCAGCTCTTCAGCTCAAGGGTAGCACTCTACCTCTTGAACCACAGCACCACTTCCTGCTTTTTCTGCTTATGTGATGCTGAGAAATTGAACCCAGGGCCTCATGCATGCAAGGCAAGCACTCTACCACTGAGCCACCTTCCCAGCCCCAGAAAAAAACATTTTTATAAGCATATGTTATTAGCATATGTTAATGGCACAAAGGGTTTCATTGTGATCTTGCACTAGTTTCAACAAGTTTTATTTTTCTATAATCTCATTTTTTAAAATTTGGCTATTAAGATATTCTCTCTCTCCTTCCCTCCTCTTCTCTCTCTTTTCTTTCCTCTTTTTCCTTTCCTCTCTCTCCCTCCTTCTCTCTCCCCTTCATCCCCCCTCCCTCCCTCTCCCCCTCCTCTCTCTTGGCAGTACCAGGTTTGATCTCAGGGCCTTCTACCTGCTAGGCAGAGGCCCTCCCTACCCCTTCAGCCTGCCTACCCCTTCAACCTGGCTTTGTGTAGGTTATTTTGGAGATGGAAGTCTAGAGAAATTTTCTGCCTGGGCTGGCCTTGAACTGAAATCCTGTGCAGCTAGGATGACAGGCTTGAGCCACCAGCACCTGACAAGCTTATTTCTCTTTTCATATGTACAGGAAAACCAGTGTTAAGCCAGGCACTGGTAGCTCACACCTGTCATCCTAGCTACTCAGGAGGCTGAGATCTGAGGACCATGGTCACAAGCCAGCCTGGGCAGCAAAGTCTGTGAGACTCTTATCTCCAATTAACCACCAGAAAACTGGAAGTGGTGCTGTGGCTCAAGTAGTAGAGCTCTTGCCTTGAGCTGAAGAGCTGAGGGACAGCGCCTAGGCTCAGATCAAGTGCCACCACCAAAAAACAAAAACAAACAAACAAACAAAAACCCAGTGTTTTTGAGTCAGACATCCTGGTGCCCAGTTCCGGGACTACTACGGCATTCTGTGCTTGTTCCTGGCATCATGTCTGTGTACCCAGATGTACCCAGATGATCCCACCAGATGTCTGTGTCTGCATTCAGTCTGTCCTGAATACTGAAAATCTCCCCATATCCTCTCACCCCTCCAGCCCCAATCCTGTCAATCAGATCAAGCTACTTTTCTTAAGAAGCTTCTTTGAGTCTCATTACAACTAGAGTGAATTAAAAGCCCTACCAAAGCGGGCACTGACTGGTAGCTCACGCCTGTAATCCCAACTACTCAGAAAGCTGAGATCTGAGAATCATGGTTTGAAGCCAGCTCTGAGCAGGAAAGCCCATGACACTCTAAGCTCCAAACCAGGAAAGAAAAAAAAAAGCTGGGGTGGTACAATGCCAACCTTGAATGAAAAAGCTCAAGGACAATACCTAGGCCTTGAGTTCAAGTCCTAGGACTGGCCACAAAAGGTGGGGAGGGGGGGCTTTTGCACAATTTCTTTATCAGAATGGAATTAGGCGAGATATTTTGGTTCCTTTTACTTTATGATCATCCTTAAGTATTTGTAAAAGAGAGTTTCCATTCAACATGTCAGTTTAGGGTTTACAATGTATCTTCTATCATCCTTCTCCCCCCCCCCCCCCGCCCCGCCCAGTTCTTTTATTTTAAATATCAAATGTAGTGAAATAACTACTTGTTTAACTTTGTTTCTTTCAGATGATTATCTACCAACTATAGGTGAGTTGATTAAAAAAACAAAAATCTTCTTATTTGAATTTCTTTTTAAATGTAATAAAATAGGCACTCATTTAATTAGTTCTTACCCTGATAAGAAATCATACTTCCTTCTATCAGGTAAATACTGTTTCAAAACTAGTTAAATAAGAAGAAGAATAAAATTATCATTTTGCTATTGGTATGTTTAGGAAAGTACTTTTCTTAGAAATTATCATCTTATTCTTGGCACAAAATTTTCATTTTGCTGCTAGTACTTTTGAAGGACTAAATGTTTGGTTACTTTAAAATGTTACTTTCTTTTCACAAAAATTGAGTGTTATAGGATAGAAAGAAACAAAAAATTAGACCAGGCACCAGTGGCTCACAGCTATAATCCTAGCTACTCAGGAGGCTGCGATCTTAGGATCGTGGTTCAAAGCCTGCCTGGGCAGGAAAGTCTGTGGAACTCTTGTCTCCCAACCAAAAATCCAGAAATACTGCTGTGGCTCAAGTGGTAGAGCGCTAGCCTTGGGCACAAAGAGACTCAGGGATAGCACCCAAGCCCTGAGTTCAAGCCCCAGGATTGGCACAAAAATAAAATAATGTATAAGCTGGGCACTGGTGGCTCATGCCTGTGATCCTAGCTACTCAGGAGGCTGAGATCTGAGGATCACGGTTCAAAGCCAGCCTGGACAGGAAAGTCTGTGAGACTCATCTCTAATTAACCATCAGAAAACCGGAAATGGTGCTGTGGCTCAAGTGGTAGAGCGCTAGCCTTGAGCTGAAGAGCTGAAGGACAACACTCAGGCCCAGAGTTCAAGCCCCAGGACCGACAAAATAAATCAATAAACAAATAAAAATAAATAAAATAATGTATAAACTTTGCTTGTCTATTTCTGTGCTCATCTTTGTAACAGTATAAGAAGGAATTGGTTTGTAAACCAATTTGCTTATCAGGTAAAAATAGTTTATGATTCTAGACTTTAAAACCTATCGGAGCACCAGCAAAAATGATTTGTTTTTGTAAGACAACATAGCTTTGTGGCTAGGTATAAAATAATTATATAATGATTGCTAGTTTGTTTTTTCCTCTAGACCAAGTAACATGGGAGTGCTTGTTTAGCAAAGGTGAAAACATTCTATTTTACACAAATAGCCAAAACTCTTTTGGGATGCAAACACTCATAAATGTGTAAGGTTTATATAAAGTAATTGGCAAAACCAAATTGAAGAATACAAAACCAGTTCAGGCAAATAAAACATAATGTCATGTTCCTGGCAAAACGCAGTAACACTGGATTTTCCTGAAACTGATTTTTGGTCTGTCATTTTATTGTCAGAACCTACTTCAATACCTCAGACTAAACGGTAACAATTGACTTCACCAATTTTATTTTCCAGATTCTGAGATTAAATTTCCAGAGATAGAAGGCAAGTTGATCAGAAAAATTAACGGCTAATGTATGTTCTCTTTTTATTAGGTAAAGAGATGGGGAAATTAGCAACCTTCTTTCTGGTCATCTTCTCTCTCCCACCCCTTTTTATAGTTCCTCACCTGGTATAAAAATATAATATAAGCCAGGCTCTGATAGCTCATACCTATAATCCCAGCCACTCAGGAGGTTGAGATCTGAGGATCAAGGTTCAAAGACAGCATGGGGAAGGAAAGTTCATGAGACTGTCTCCAATGAACCACCAAAATCCAGAAGTGGAAGTGTGGTTTGAGTGGTGGAGCACCAGCCTTGAGCCAAAGAAGCTTAGGGACGGTGCCCAGGCCCCAAGTTCAAGCGCCAGGACTGGCACAAAGCTAACTATGAATTCTAGGTGGTCCTCCTGCCATACTACGCTTTGGGGTCCCCCATGGGGGGCAGAGCCTGGGCAGCACAGGGAGGAGGCCCTGGGTGTGATACTGAGAGGTCTGTGTTCTGTAGATGGCGAGTGTGTCTTCCCATTCTGGTACAGAAAGGAAAAGTACTATGACTGTGTGAAACTCAACGCCAAGCACAAGTGGTGCTCCCTGAACACCACGTTCAGCGGGTACTGGAAGTACTGTGCTATGTCGGGTGAGTAGCCAGGGCTGCGGGGGGTGGAGGGAGAGGGGTGACTGGGGCTTTGTCCAGCATCTCCTTCAACTTATCAGGAGCAATTCGATCTTTATGTTGTTGTTGTTGTTGTTGTTGTGTGCAGGTTCTGGGGCTTGGACTCAGGGCCTGGGCACTGTCCCTGAGCTTTTGTGTTGAGGCTGGCGCTCTACCACTTGAGCCACAGCACCACTTCTGGCTTTTGGGTGGTTCTGTGGAGAGAGGAGTCTCACAGACTTTCCTGCCCTGGCTGGCTTTGAACTGTGATCCTCAGATCTCAGCCTCCTGAGTAGCTGGGATTACAGGCGTGAGCTACCAGGTCCTTGTTTTGCATGATGGTGATGATGATGGCACTGTGAGTGAAAATGTGCAATATCTGATTTGTTTTTTTGTTTGTTTGTTTGTTTTTGTTTTTTGGGGGGGGTCCGGTCGTGGGGCCTGAACTCTGGCCTGGGCACTGTCCCTCAGCTCTTCAGCTCAAGGCTAGCGCTCTACCACTTGAGCCACAGCACCACTTCCGGCTTTTTTTTTTTGCTTATGTGGTGCTGAGGAATCGAACCCAGGGCCTCATGCATGCAAGGCAAGCACTCTACCACTGAGCCACCTTCCCAGCCCCTTGGTTTTTTTTTTTTGAGCTTGGCTTAGTTTATTCCCATGACAAGCTCACATTCCATCTGTGTTCCTGCAAACAACATAATTTTGACCTTTTTTACAGCGCAGGCAGGGATACAGCCTTACATCGAATCTACCTAGCACATTTTATTTACTCCATTCCTCGGCACCCCATGGACAACAGGCAGCATGGGGTGGGGGGTGGTGATCGGTCCAAAGAAACCAATCAGTAGACACTGACGCGGTTGGGGGAATGGCAGGCCCCCGATAGTCTCATTGGCACAGAAGTATGTCCACACGTGCCCATGTGTGGGTGTGCATGTACATGCGCATGCGTGTAGGTGTGATCATTTGTACACACGTGTGTGCAGGTGTGTGCCTATGTGTGCATGCACGTTCATGCATTGTGTGTGTGGGTGCGCACTGTGTACATGCGTGCTACTAAGAACCCCTCCTCCCCCACCCCACCCCCTGTCCTGTGCAGACTTTGCGCCCTGCGCCTTCCCCTTCTGGTACCGGCGCCTGATCTACCGCAAGTGCACGGAAGATGGCGAAGTGTTTGGGAGGAAGTGGTGCTCGCTGACCCCTGACTACAACCGGGATCAAGTGTGGAAGTACTGCTGAGAAGCAAGGCAGGGGGGTGGGGGTGGCGGAGTCCTGGAATCAATGAATGAATGAATGAATGAATGAAGGCATCTCCTCTCGTTCTTTCTTTGTTCTTTCCGGGCAGGGTTGAGATGGTCGAGGCTGTGATCACTGGGGTTCAACGCCAGCTGCTGGGGTTCGGTGTCTGCTTGCCTAGCAGCTGCTAAGTGCAGGTGGGGTCACAGCTGCTGTCACCCCAGAGACTGTCACCCCGGCCACGGGTCACTTCCTGTTGCTGCCCTGGTTGTCAACTCCCATCGGAGCCATCTAGGCTGACAGGGCGCCACAGGGGGTCGGGGAGGACCTGCACACCTCGCTGCAGACACTCAGCTCTCAAAGGCAAATGAAGCTGGGCACTGGGCTCATACCTGTAAACCCCTAGCTACTGAGGAGGCTCAGATCTGAGGATCGCAATTCAAAGCCAGCCCACTCAGGAAAGTCCGTGAGACTCTTCTCTCCAATGAATCACCAGAAAACCAGAAGTGGAGCTGTGGCTCAAAGCGGTAGAGCTAAGCTAGCCTTGAGCAAAAGAGCTCAGGGACAGCACCTGGGTCCCAGGTCTGGCACCAAAAAAGAAAGAAAGAAAAAAGAGCAAGGGTTGGGGTGTGGCTGAAGAGGCAGAACGCCTTTCCAACATGCACAGGCCTTGCATTCAAGCTCCACACTACAAAACAATCAGAAAACAATAATGGAGCACTGCATGGCACCCTGCTCCTGAGCATCAGGACCAGCTTTGTGACGCCACATACATGAGCAACTGAGGCATTGGCTTCACCCCAGCCCTGGCCAGGAAAACCAGGTGGCCAAATGCCAGTACCTATCCCAACTCCTGAGCCAGGCTATGAAGGAATAGAGTGTTCTCTCCCATGTCCTCTGTGATCCTTCTAGAAGGCCGTGTTCTGGCCCCTTTCACAGGGCTATGCACACAGGCTCCCCAGGGGAAAGGGAATATGCACCTCATGAATGTTCCCACACAGCTCCCACTGCCTCCTCAAGGCGCAGCAACTAGCAGGAACATCTTTAAAGTATTCACAGGAAAAACAACAACATAAAACAAACCAAATAATACTAGATTAGTAATAATGATGATGATGATGTCACTGGTAGCTCACGCCTGTAATCCCAGCTATTCAGGAGGCTGAGACCTGAGGATCAAGGTTTGAAGCCAGCCCAGGCAGAAAAGTCAAGGAGACTCTTATCTCCAAGGAAGCACCAAAAATTCAGAAGTGGAGCTGCGGCTCAAAGAGGTAGAGCCCCTTGACCTTTCTGCCCGGGCTGGCTTGGAAACCACAAACCTCAGATCTCAGCCTCCTGAGTAGGTGGGATTACAGGCGTGAGCCCCTGGTGCCTGGCTAGTGCTGTTTTTTGGTTTTGTGGGTGGTTTTGATGTGTGTGCGCGCGTGTTTTGTTTAAGTGCTCTGACACAGAAAGCCAGAAGGCCTTTCTGGGAAGCAGGGAAGCGTGACAGGCCAGAAGGAGGGGCAGAGGGGGGGAAGGGATTATAAATGAGCCAGAGCCAAGGTTGGTTGCGGCTGGACACTTTCAGGGCCTTGGAGGTGATGAAATATTCAGTGGTCTGGATGTTGCTGGCTGGTGGCCTGTGGGGACTGGACGGTAAGGCTGCTATGGAGGTTGGGAGGGAGGGAGGCCAGGATGGAGGCTGGGAGGGAGAGGAATCCAGAGCAGGGCGAGACTGACCCAGTCTGGAAATCAATGATGCAGGATTTGTTCTGCAGATGGCAGAGCAGAGTGTGGGGTGAGCAACTGGCTTTCAACCCTGAGTTGCCTTCAGGGGGTTTGGGGACCACGGGGACACTTGACCTCGCCCCCTGACTGTGCCTCAGCCTTCACCGTAATCAAAGCCTTTGAGAGCCGGACACCGCTGCTCACCCTTGTCATCCCTGCTACTCAGGAACTGAAATATGAGGGCTGCAGTTTTGAAGGCAGTCTAGGCAAGGAAGTCTGTGGGATTCTTAGCTCCCATGGACCACCAAAAAGCCACGAGTAGAGGTGTGGTTCAAGTGGTAGAGTGTGAGCCGTGAGCACAAAAGCTCAGGGACAGCGCCTGGGCCTTTAGTTCAAACCTCAGTACTTGGAGGAGGGATGGGCGGGGCGGGGGGGGGAGGGGGAAAAATCTTCTCCATTGCCACTAACATCAGCCACCATATTAGAATATTTTCCTCTTTGTTCTTTGTTTTCTTTTGGCTGGGATTCTTACGGGCTGGGATTTGAACTCAGGGCCTTGTACTTGCTAGGCTTGAGCACTCTACCACTTGAGTCACGCTTCCAGCCTCACTGTTTTTTCTTTTTTTTGTCAGCTGTGGGGCCTGAACTCTGGGCCTTGGGTGCTGTCCCCCAGCTCTTCAGCTGTAGACCAGCACTCTACCACCTGAGCCTTAGCCCCACTTCCGGCTTTTTCTGCTTATGTAGTGCTAAGGAATCAAACCCAGGGCCTCATGCATGCAAGGCAAGCACTCTACCACTGAGCCACCTTCCCAGCCCCCTCACTGTTTTTTCTTGCCGCTATCAAAGCTTGAATTCAAAGGCTTTGCACTTGTCCCGCTTGCTTGTTCCCAACTGACATTCGACCATTTGAGCCACATCTCCAACCCGGCTTATGATTATTTTTTTGCTAACTAATTAATTGATGATGGAGTCTCCTCACAGACTTTTCTGCTTGGGCCGGCTCAGTGTCTTGATCCTGTGGTAGCTGGGATTTACAGGTGTGAGCCACCAGCACCAGGCCAAGGCCTCTTTGGGCTTAAGAACATCCAGTTGGTTGGCAAGGCTGTGTGCTATATGGGGGACATCCAGGATTGGCCTTCAGGAGTCTCATGAGCTCTCTCTGCAGTGTGCTCTGTCCTGGCAGTGCTTTCCAATACCTCCTGCATCTTCCCCTTTTCCTATATGGATGGCATACACTTCTCCTGCACCTCCATCCACAGTGACTATGACTGGTGCTCCCTGGACAGCACCTTCCGAGGCCGGTGGCGCTACTGTACAGCCAAAGGTGAGTGTCTCCCAGATACTCGGGGGCCCAAGAGCAGGAGGATCGCAGTTCCAAACCTGCCTGGGCAGGAGAGTCCATGAGACTCTGATCTCTGATGAACCCACAAAAAGGCAGAAGTGGTGCTGTGGCTCAATTGGTAGAGCACCATCCTTGAGTGAAAAGGCTCAGTGATAGCTCCCAGGCCATGAGTTCAAGCCCCAGGATATTCTTACAAAGGTATATTGGATGCCTAGAATGCTAGGGGTCAGTAGAACGCTAGATTCTGGAATTCAGATCTCAGAAAGGTGTTGTTTTCTATTTGATGGGTGTTCTCACTTGGAAAACAATGGGGTAGAAAAAGTTTGGCAATGTGTGAGTTGGGTGATGGCGTCTGAGGATGACCTTTTTTTTTTTTTTTCATTGTGGGGCTTGAACTCTGGACCTGGGCATTGTCCCTGCTCTCTTCAGCTCAAGACAAGTGCTCTACCGCATGAGCCACAGCACCACTTCTGGTTTTCTAGTGGTTTATTGGAGATAAGTCTCACAGACTTTTCTGCCCGGGCTGGGTTTGAACCATGATCCTCAGATCTCAGCCTCCTGAGTAGCTAGGATGATAGGCGTGAACCACCAGTGCCCAGCTGAGGATGACCTTGTACAACCTTGTGTACCTCCTCCCCCCCACAGATCCCCCAGTGTGTGTATTCCCCTTCACCTTCAAAAAATGGTGCTTCCGCCAGTGCACCAAGAAAGGCTATGTCCTCGGCCGGAGCTGGTGTTCACTGACCCACAACTTCAACAAGGACAGAAAATGGAAGCAGTGCTCTCCTCAACAGTGAGAGCTGGGAAGAGTGGAGCAGGGGCTTGAAGAATGGTGGAAATGGGGAGTGCTGTGGGTGGATGGATGGTATGTGGGTGGGTGGACTGATGGATGGATGAATGATGGATGGATGATGGATAATGGATGAATGGATAATGAGTGGATGGGTCCTGAATGGATAATGGATGGTAAATAGATGATGCATGGATGAAAAGTGGATGGATGTTGGATAATGGATGCTGGATGGATGCTGGGTAGATGGGTGCTGGATGGTAAATAAATGATGAATGGTTGACAGGTAGATGGATTATTAATGAATGGATGGATGGAGGACGGATAATGGGTAAATAGGTAATGAGTGAATGGATGGAGGATGGATATACGGTCTATGATGTACATATGTATGTATGAATGATGGGTGGATGGATGACAGATGATAAGTGGATGTAGGGATGATGGATGGATGGATGATGGATGGTAGATAATGATGGATGCATGGATGAGTGATGGATGGATGATAAATGATGAATGGATGGATGGATGGATATAGGATGGATGGATCATAGATGGATGGATGATGAATGGATGGATGATAGATTGATGATAGGTGGATGGATGATTAGTGAATAAATGGACAGGTGATGAATGGATGATGGATAATGGATGGATAGACAATGAGTGGAAGGATGGATGGGTGGGTAGATGGATGGATGGATATAGGATGGGTGGGTGGATGGATGGATGGATAGATGGATGGGTGGATGGATGGATGGGTGATTGGATGGGTGGGTGGATGGGTGGGTGGATGGGTGGGTGGATGGATGGATGGGTGGGTGGATGGGTGGGTGGATGGATGAGTGGATGGAAGTTCAAGGCTTAGACTGGTGGTTTCTTAGATCAGGGGTTGACAAACATCTGAGCAGGACCCGATGTGGAATATTTCAGGCTTTGCAAGTTACTCAGTCCATGCCACATAGACTCAATGGTGCCATTGTGCCATTCGTCCACATGCAGCAAATGTGTGATCACTCTCCACTTTTAATCTGCTCTTGATTTGCAAAAGCCATACAATATACCATTAAAATGCAATCAGTAATAGTATATCTAATTGGAAAAGGAGACATATGTTCACTTCTGGCTGGCTGCTGATCTAGAACATTCCCCTGTCCCCTCCTTTCCCCCAGGGCCCCAGGCTAAGGAGCACCTAGGGGAACAGAGCAGCCCCCCTCCCACCAAGGAGGGGGAAAGATGGCACACAGAGGAGGGACCGCTGTGGGACATCTATCCTGGAGCGTGACAGAGTCGGACCTGCTTTTCTAATCTCTCTCTTTCCTCCACAGTACTTAGATAATCCAGGTGGTTTAGAAGAGTCTGAAGTTGTAGATTCCTCAGCTGCCTCTCCAAATATCATCCCACCGCTGGGTACCTGTGGCTCACACTTATCCTCCCAGCTCACGCCCATCATTCCAGCTACTGCGGAGGCTGAGATCTAGAGGATCACAGTCTGAACTGAGCCTGCGGAGGAAAGTCCATGAGACTTTTACCTCCACCAAACCAGCAAAAGAACTGTAATGGAGTTGTGGTTTCAAGCCATAGAAACGCTAACCTTGAAGGAAAAGGCTCAGGGACTGTGTCCAGGCCCTGAGTTCAAGCCCCAGGACCAGCACCAAAACATAAAATAAATAAATAAAAAGAAAAACAAATCCTTGACAGAAGTCCTTTGTGCAAGTAGCAGCATTTGCTTTTCCAGGATCCATATCTGTCTTGATGATGTCCTTTGTCCATTGTCAGAGCACGTGAGTTACTGAATTGAGGGGTAGCAGGTGAGGTCTCAAGAAGAGAGCTGCTCTAGGTCTCTTTCTGTTCCTTGCGCTTTTACTGCAGTTGGTGAAGGAAGGAGCGTGTGTCTAAAGCAAAGCAGAGATTTGTTTCTCTGTCCCTAAATCACTTTCTGGTTACTGTGTGTCACACCTGCTCGTTCCTGATTCATCCCGCTTCAGTGGCCTAGGGGTCACTGAGCACCAGCTGTCTTTCACATGGAATGTGGACTTGTCCTAATAAGTTCGTAGCTAAGTGACAGTTAATTTTTCCTGTTGTCCTTATGTGGCCTGGAACTGGCGACTCACCCCTGTAATCCCAGCTCCCCAAGAGTCTAGGATCGAAGGATTATGGTGATCAATTCTAAGCCAGCCAGGGCAGGAAAGCCTGTGACATTTATCACCAATGAACTATGAGAAAACTGGAAATGGTGCTCAAAATGGTAGACCACTTAGCCATGAGCAAAAAGTGCTCAGGGACAGTGCCCTGAGTGCAAACCCCAGGATACACACACACACACACACACACACATACACACACACACACACACACACACACACACAGCATGGCATCTGATATTACACAAGTATTTGGTGGTTCTCAAATCTGCAAGGTCAGGACAAGGAAAGGAAGTCTGAGAAACTCTTTTTTTTTTAAAATTTATTTTATTTGATTTGTGAACATACTGTACAGAGGGGTTACAATTAAATGGGCAGGATAATGCGTACATTTCTTACCAAGCATTTGTTTACCCTTCACATCCCTTCCCAGCCTCCCCCCTCCCCCCACCAGTCCAAATCCTTCTCCCCCCCCCCCCCCCCCGCCCCCACTGACATTGTAAAACTCATTATGGACATGACAACTTGTACTTCAGTCTGAGAAACTCTCTGTGCACCAGGAGCCTGAGGAGCCAAGAAGACCATGACACCAGGGTCAAGGCTGAGATCCTGGGGAAAGCAGAAGACACTGGAAGAGACACGCAGTGTGAGGACTCCGGGCGACTTTCTGAACCTCTACAGCCAGGCTCACAGCTCCGCTACCCTCCATGCACGCAGCTCCCTGGTGAAGCCCGGCTTCCTCTGCCAGAATTAACTCTCAGCTTGCCACAGGCACCTGGCAAGAAAGCCAGCCAGCCATGGTGGGAGAGCAGGTTATTTTCACAGTGAGATGAAGACAGTTAATGACCGCCTTCAGTACCTGGATGAAAACCCAGATTCTGCCACCCCTCCCCAGTGTCACTGGCCCATGACCAATAGCCAGGCACACAGGGATCCGCCATGGCTCAGTACTACTACGTGTGGTACCAGGGCATTCCTTTCCCTGCTGTGGGTTATAACCCTGAAGTCACAAAAGCAGCCCACGAGAAGCTGGTGCTGAAGGACGAGGACATCATCACGGTGACCTACCCCAAATCAGGTGAGCAGACGGGGCTGCGGCTGCGTGGGAAAGGCCAGAGCTGCGCCCCACTCCCTCCAGCCTCCATGTGGGGATGGTATAGTTACTCATTGGTTTCTTTCCCTTCTTGGAAGAGGATCTCCCAGCCCATTTCACAGGGATTTCTGTGTGCGTGGTGTGTGAACGTACTGGAGAAACGCAGTAGCATGGGGCCTATGGCAGAAGGTTTCCTGGGAGCAGGGGTGAGGAAGGGAGGGTGAACGCTGCAGATCTCAGAGACAACCACATTCAGTTTTGTTTTGTTTTGTTTTTTTAATATGAATCTGAATGTAGTTGATTTGTTGATTTAGGCTTTTAAACATGATCTTTCAGCAGTTGTACCAAAGGTCTTCAGTGCCACACTGCCCATTTCCCAGGGCCCAGTGCCTTGATCAATGCCACCCCTCCACGTACATTTTGGGACAAGTGTTTTACACCATCAGCACATGTGCACGCAGCACCTACAGCCCAGGTGTTTTCATCAGGATTGTGTTTAATGATGGAGCTCCATTGGAGGCTGGCATAGGAGACGTCCTGGCTTTCTCAGTCCATGCATATGGGGGAGAGCTTTTTATTCTAGTATTTTATTTTTCTCAATATGTTTGAAGTCCTGTATGTAGCTCTCGTGGACATTTTTTTTGATACATCCTAACATTTTTAATTTAGTACATGCTAAACACTATAGGATGTCACTTTTCAATTATTTACTTTGTGGGGGGAGAGGAATTTGCACTCAGGGTCTTGTACACGTTTGCCTCGCAGAACTATTTAGCTGGTACTTTACCACTTGAGCCAAATCTCTCGTGCAGTACAGAGGGGTGACCATTTCATAAGTCAGCCAATGAATACATTTGTTTTTGTTTGGTTTTTGAGAAGTACCCAGGCCTTGAGTTCAAGCCCCAGTACTGGCACAATAAGAAAAAAAAAAAACTCTCTTTAGGCAGTAGTTGGGAACCGGAAACTTCCAGCAAATACAAGGCAGTGGCAGAACAGGCCCTAATTGGGGGAGAGGGGGGAGGCCAGGGGAGGAGCACCGGGATGGGGCAGAGCCAGCACAGAGCACACACTGCAAAGGAAATGTGCTGAGAATCAGGAGCCAGGGCAGCACTGCAGGGACTTCAGGAACAGCCACAGGGTGGATCCATCCCAACTATCCACAGAGACTCGCTGCTTAACCCCAATAGGCCCCAGGGGGATAAATGGAGAGTGACACTGATTACCAAGGCAGAGCATTCAGACCCACACCACAGCATGATTGGAGGACATATTGCTATTAGAAGCACACCAGGGCAGGCCGTCGTGAGAAGACAGATGGTGTGTGATTTGTACCATGTACAAAGCCCACAGCCGCCACAGCCTAGAAGAGACAAGAGAGCTGTGGGGGCCTGGACAGGAGACAGGGGCAACTATGCACATGTGCACAGCATAGGCTTATAAGATGTTAAGATACTGTGGTGAGCCAGGCTCTGTGGCTCATGTGTGTCATCCTAGCTACTCAGGAGGCTGAGATCTGAGGATCGCCATTTAAAGCCAGCCTGGGTAGGAAAGTCCATGTGACTCTTCAAGAAACCACTCAGAAAACCAGAAGTGGCACTGTGGCTCAAGTGGTAGAGCACTAGCCTTGAGCTGAAGGGTTGAGGGGCAGCGCCCAGGCGCAGATGGATTCAAGCCCCAAAACAACAGCAACAAAATGTAAATAAGTTACCCGAGCATCATGGCTCATGCAAGCTGACGAGGCTGTGCCTTTAGGGCTGGGCACAATGTTTGTCCTCATGCAAAGGGGGCATCTTTGTAGCAGTAGCCAGGGTGAGGTTTACTGATCACAGTGTTGCGGTTGGGTCTGGGCCGGAGGCAGGCTGCTACTGCAGCCGGAAGCTACCAGGAGCCTGGGTGAGAGTTCACAATTGCAGTCAGGTCTGGTGTGCTCACGTGATTTTAGGGAAAGGGCTGAGGGCCTAAGATGGAGCTTGTTAAATCACAGTGGAGAAGGATATAGTAACTTACATTCTTCCATGTTCAGTTCCTGGCAGAACACAGAACTACAACAGGAAAGAGAAGGAGATAGGCTTCTGCCCAGGTTTTTCTTGACAAGTTTTTAATTTTACGAATCTTTTATGTTGAGAATAGGTGTAGATGCCACAAAACTTCAAAGAGGGCTCGAGGCCCTAAGTTCACTTCAGCAATATTGCCACCAAATCATTTCCCAAAGTACTCAATGCATTTTTGCTTTCGTTCTTTTTCTGTTTCCCCCAGGATCTCCATGCTCCAGGATTTCAGCCATGATTCTCCGGGTCATGATCTCCATGGCTCCTCAGGCTCCTGGGGGCAGGGAGAGTTTCTCAGACTTCCTTTCTTTTTCCTGACCTTGCAGATTTGAGAATCACCAGATACTTCTGTGACATCACAGGGAAAAGGGTTTGTGTGTGTGTGTGTGTGTGTGTGTGTTTGTGTGTGTGTGTGCCAGTCCTTGGGAGGCCTGGGTACTGTCCCTGAACTTTTTTGCTCAAAGCTGGCATTTTACCACTCTGAATCATGGCAGCACTTCCGGTTTTCTAGTGGTTCATTGGAAATACGGATCTTGTGGACTTTCTGCTGGGGCGGGCCTCAAATCTCAATCTTCAGGTCGTAGCCTCTTGAGCAGCTTGCTTACCAGCATTAGCCACAAGCTCCTGCCTTTGTAAGATTTGTTCATAGCTCGGATGCTATAAATGGAAGAATAAGTCAGGACATAGTCCCACGGGAACAGCTCCAGAGGAAATCTTGCCATCTTCTCCTGGAATGTTTTGTCGAATTCTTCAGCCTGGGCTACGGTGAAGTGGTTTTTCCAGTCCCCCACAATGCCCAGAGGCGGTGGAGAAATGCTGAGATCAGACCACGCGATGGGTATGAATGGTACAGGCAGGCCTCTGGCTCCCTGCTCCAGCCCTACCATGTCCTTGCTGTGGACTTTGGAGCTCAGAGAAAAGAACTCCCAGAAGAACTCTGTGTGTCTGTGTGTGCAGAAACAGAAGATTTCAATGTAGTTTCAAACTCTTCAGTTTCACAGGGAAATCTCTGGATCATAGAGCTACAGATTGCCTAGACTCTAACGTGTCAGCCAACAAGAAATAGAAGGAATGAACGAATATGACTACATAAAATTAAAGAATGTCTGCTCACCAAAATAAAAAACCCAATGTGGGAGGCATCGGCTCGCGTGACCCCATCTGAGCTCCTGTGTGTGGTAAGGGTGCATGTTGGCATGCATTTCCTCTGGGGGAGGAAGGGGAGACCCCCCCCCCGCCCGCTCCTCCAAGCCAAGGTCCAATGCCTGGCACCAGACTCAGGTGAAGGTTTGCGGGAAGTGCTATGCGTGCTCCTGCTAATTAACCCCATGGAACAACGCATCCAGATTCCTTTCATGTTTTTTAACGGAGTGCCACCTGCACTTTGCCTCCTCTTTATTAATCTTTAATCACATGGAAATGTTCCACCTTTGACAACTCTTCCCGCTCACTGATTAAAGGTTGCCAACTTTTAGTATCCACATACCCCCCCCCCAAATTGTTTAAGATCAACTTTCTGTCCCATGATTGTCCTGTGACTGTCTCATGACAGTCCCATGACTACAGACTTACCTTCTATGCCCCTATGCCATAGATAAGCATGTGATATTTTGTTGAAGTTGGTTTTTGTTTTTGTTTTCGGTCATGGGGGATGAACTCTAGGCCTGGGCACTGTCCCTCAGCTCTTCAGTTCAGGACTAGCACTCTACCACTTGAGCCACAGTGCCACTTCGGGCTTTTTCTGCTTATGGGGTACTGAGGAATTGAACCCAGGGCCTCATGCATGCAAAGCAAGCACTCTATCACTGAGCCAACTTCCCAGATGGCGTATGATGTTTTAATAAACTTTGTTTATACCCACATGGTACGGTCCCTTTCTGCCTACCAGGCACGTGTTCCCACGTTACTGCTGAGGAATTAGCAACAACCCAACAACAAGAAAACAAAACCAGTTTCGGTGGGGGAGAGAATCTTCAGCAACTGTTTGTTGGATGCAGGGCAATCATGCAGAAAGTACAAAGAGCTTAAAGTTGTACAAGAACCAAACACTGCCCATTCTTAGATGGGCAATGGAATTGAAAAGCCTTTCTAAGACAAAGAAATAAAAATGTCTAAAAGATACATAAAGCCAGCTGAGTACTGGTGGCTCATACTCGTTATCCTAGTAACATAAGAGGCTGAGTTTTGAAGTGAGCTCTGGGCAGGAAAGCCCATGAGACTCTTATCTCCAATGAACTACCAAAAAGCTGGAAGTGGAATTGAGGCTCAAGCCTTGAATAAAAATTTAAACAACAACAACAACAACAGAAAACCCACTCAGCAATAGCATCCAGGCCTTCTGTTCAAGTCCCAGGATCAATACACACATTTTTTTTAAAAACCCATAAAGCCGTATTGATGGAGCAAGGGTCTGTTAAGGATTTCCTCCTTCCTGGTCTCTGACAGATGTTTAAACCACAATCATTCCATACCTCTCCCGGTCATTAGGACTGCAGCAATGTTGTAATTCTCTCAGCAGGCTGTAATTGGACAACATGTTTTCTTTCATGGCCTGAAATATCTGTTCTCCAGGACCAAGTTCAGCTCTTTGGGGTCCAGCTTCTTCCCCAGGAACTGACAGATCTTCTCCAAAGTGTTCCTCGTGTCCTGCAAGAAGGAAAAACAGGACACCACACAGAGCGGCTCTCAGGAGGAAGGAGCTGTGGAGGGAGGAGAAGGGACAGACAGCCAAGCACCATGACAGACTTGTGTGTCAGAGGCTGAGCTGGGAGCAGGGAGGGAGGAAGGGATGAGAGCAGGATAGGAAGGAGGACCGGAAGGATTTGCCCCAAGCACCGAGCACCGGGATGTCATTTTATGGTTTGTGGCAGCACAACCAGAGCACAGAGGCTGGAGATGTCCCAGACCTAGAGAAAAGCATCTGACGTGGGGCCCTGGTGACTCCCATTTGTCATCCTATCTACTCAGGAGGCTGAGATCTAAAGATCCTGGTTCAAAGCCAGCCCAGGCAACATAATCTATGAGACTTTTATCTGCAATTAACCAGCAGGAAACTGGAAGTGGAGCCGTGGTTCCAAGTGGAAGAGACAAGCCCTGAACAGAAAAACTCAGAGACACCATACAGTCCCAGAATTCAAGCCCCAAGACTGACTGAAAAAGAAAGAAGTGAGAGAAAAGCCTAATTTGAGAAATGTCAAAAGGAAGATCAATACACTAGTTACTACAGTGCCCCACAGTTCATCTCAGTACACCCCAGACTTCTCTAAAGTCTTTTATTTGTGTTTGTCAGTTGTGGGTCTTGAACTCTGAGCCTGGATGTTGCTGTTGAGCCTTTGTGCTTAAGGCTAGCACTCTATCAACTGAGCCAGAGGTCCACATCAGCTTGTTGCTGATTCACTGGAGAGAAGAGTCTCATGCATTTGCCTGCTGGTGCTGGCTTTGAACCACAATGCTCAGATCTCAGCCTCCTGAGTAGCTAGGATGGTGAACTCTGACAGGTGGCGTGGGGTCTTTGAAGAAAGGGAGACCCATGATCAGGAGGTAATAATGGGGTGGGGTGCACGGAAAATGGATCGTTGCCTTCTTCAGTGCCTCATAACTGAGCACCAGCACATTCTCCCTCTCCCTCATGGACATCCAGCCCCGGACATGTGCAAACCATGACCCATAGAGCACTGCAGGGTGGGCAATGAGGGACAAATAATCAACTCCTGGACCTCCAGATGTGGTCTATGATCACCACATGTTTCCCCTTGTCCCCATAGCTTCCTCCAGGTGGAACTGACAAAAAATTCTTGTGCATATTTACCTGGGTGCCAGTGGCTCACACCTGTCAGCCTAGCTCCTGAGGAGGATGAGTAGTGAGGATCATGGTTCAAAACCAGCCTTGACAGAAAAGCCCCAGAATATCTCTCTGTCTCTGTCTCTGTCTGTCTGTCTGTCTGTCTGTCTCTGTGGTCATGGTGGTGCTTGATTCAGGGCCTACCCCCTGTCCCTGAACATTGTACTGAAATCTAGCACTCTATGCAATGAGCCATAGCTCCACTTCCGGCTTTTTTTCTGATTCATTATAGATGAGTCTTGTGGACTTTTCCTGCCCGTGCAGACTTCAAGCCACAACTCTCAGATTGCAGTCGGCTGGCTGGGTAGCTAGGATTACATTCCTGAGCTACTGGCACTTGATTCATGAGAGTCTTATGGACAATTATTTGCCAAAAAGATGGAAGTGGGAGCTGAGGATCCAGAGGTACAACACTAGCCTTGAGAGAACAAGTAAGGGAAAATGCCCAGGCCCAGAGTTCAAGTCCCAAGACACACACACACACACACACACACACACACACATACACAGACACAGACACACACACACACACACACACACACACACACACATATACATACACACACACACACACACACACACACACACACAATTTTTATATCCCCTCACTTCACAACCTACTCACTACTGCTTTGGATGAACCATTCATAATACTGCTGCAGTGACTGCAGATTCTTCATGAGCTGTGATTGACCCCAGAAATGACAGCCAGACACAAGGACATCCTTTGGATTTCTGATGACATAGATCACCTTGAAGGGAGAAAGGAGAAGACTAAAAAATCATGAGCATCTTTCCCACATGTAGGTCTTGATCTCCCCTCAGCCAAGGTCTACATGATGGGACAAGCATCAAAGGATCAACCATCTGCCAGTGTCTTACTAGAACACTAATTTATTTTTATTTGTTTGTGACAGTCCCGGGGCTTGAACTCTCAGCCTGTGCACGAAACCTGAGCTATTTAGCTCATGTTTAGGGCTTTACCACTTTGAGCCCCAGCACCACTTTCTGGTTTTCTGCTGGTTCTTTGGAGATAGAAGTCTCATTCACTTTTCTGCCTGGGCTGGCTTTGAACCATGATCCTTAGATCTCAGCCTCCTGAGTAGCTAGGATGACAGGCATGAGCTATGGGGTCTGGCTTTGGCACTGGCTTTTGATGGAGTGAAGATCAAAGAAAAGACAGGCAAGTGGTTCTGCCTGAAGTTTATCTGTAAGCCCTGGTTGAGCTTAAGGTAGATTTGGAAGACTCTGGCCTCCAGGTCATCTGTGAGGGCCCAACTGCACTGGTCTACATTTTGGGCCTGAGGTCTCTCCACTGGTGAATGTGACCCCAGGACCACGGTGAACAGCTGAAGACGAATGCAGCTTGCTCTCATCTCCAGGTATCTATTATGAGGTCAAGATTGAAAAGCATCGATTGAGCCAGTGGCTCACATCTGTCATCCTAGCTACTCAGGAGGCTGAGATCTGAGGATTGTGGTTCAAAGCCAGCCCAAGCAGGAGAGTCTGTGAGACTCTTATCTGCACAAGTAACCACCAAAAGGGGAGCTGTGGCTGAAGTGGTAAAGCTCTAGACTTGAGCAATAAAGCTCAGGGATAGTGCCCAGGCCTTGAGTTCAAGCCCCAGAACTAGCACCCCATCCCCCCCTCCACACACACACAACAAGCATTACTGAACAGTTATTGAGCACTGATCACTGACCTTGGCCTTGGAAGTGAAGAAAGACTTGGGGAAGAGTTGGATGGGGAGGTGGGAAGTGAGGAGCTAGGACCCCTCCTTCCTGTCCTTAATGATTTTGGCTCTACTTTTGGCCTGGATCCACGAGGATTCATCCCAGATGGGCACAGACCGGATCCACTCTGGATCCCCTTGCTGTGAATGAGACACAGGATCTCAATCATCCAGTTGGTTCCTGGGGACAGAAGGAAAGTGAAGGTAACTCATTTCTGCCTGAATTATGTTAAAAAAAATGACAGTAAAATATACATAAACCTTACTGTTTTTTTTTTTTTAAATTAATTTTATTTTATTTGAGAACATACTGTACAGAGGGGTTACAATTACATGGGCAGGATAATGCATACATTTCTTACCAAGCATTGCAGCCTCCTCCTTTGTTTACCCTTCACCTCCCTTCCCAGCCTCCCCCCTCCCTCCCACCCAATCATACCCCCCCCCCGACATTGTAAAGCTGGTTTTGACATGACATTTTGTACTTCTCATTGTTGCAACAGGTCCACCTGAATCCTTAAACGACTTGTTTGTCCCCATCTCCTCCACATGTTATACTGACATCAAATATAGTGAAAGCGGGGGTTACACTGTAGAAAACTAAAGCTAGATCCTTATATATCACCCTGCACCAGAATCAACTCCAAATGGATCAAAGACCTTGAACTCAAAGCAGACACTCTGAAAACATTACAGGATGGAATAGGAGAAACCCTGGGTCTCCTTGGCACAGGCCGAAATTTTCTGAATAAAGACCCGGAAACACAACAAATCAAAGAAAGGCTGGACAAATGGGATTGTATAAGGTTGCAGAGCTTCTGCAGGGCAAATGACATAGCTAGCAAGATCAATAGAAAGCCCACGGACTGGGAGAAGATCTTTACTAGCCATACATAAACCTTACTGTTATAAACTTTGTTCAGCATACATTCCTTTGTCCCAGAAGGCCTGTGTGTGTGTGTGTGTGTGTGTGTGTGTGTGTCCATGCATGCCAGTCCTGGTACTTGAACTCAGAGCCTGTGCGCTGTCCCTGGATTTTTCTGCTTCATATTGGTGCTCTATACCTTGAGCCACAGTTGCACTGAACAGTTTTTCTTCATTCATTGGAGATGAGAGTCTCACAGATTTTCATGCCAAGGCTGGCTTTGAACCTCGATTCTCAGATCACAGCCTCCTCAGTAGCTAGGATGGCAAGAGATATCCACCAGTACCTGGCCTATGCTGGTATTTTTACAGGTAATAAATGTACACTGTCCACATGTGCGTAGTTGCCCCCCGTCTCCTGTCCAGGCCCCCACAGCTCTCTTGTCTCTTCTAGGCTGTGGTGGCTGTGGGCTTTGCACATGGTGCAAATCAAACACCTCTTGCCCTCGTGTGTTTCCAATCGCAATATGTCTTCCAATCATGCTGCAGAGTGGGTCAGAGTGCTCTGCATTGGTAATCAGCATTAAGCTCCATTTATCCCCTGAGGCCTATTGGAGTTAAGCAGTGAGTCTCTGTGGATAGTTGGGATAGATCCACCCCATTGGCTGTTCCTGAAATCCCTGCAGTGCGGCCCTGACAATAAACTCCTTTATTGTATGTGACTGTGTCCATGTGATCTTCTGGGATGGGTGATTTCAGGGGTTGTGTTTGATAATGGAGCTAAGATAGAGGCTTGTATATGAGATATGTTGGCTTTCTCAGTCCATGCCTATGGGGAAAAGCTCTTTATTCTGGCTTTTTATTTCTCTTAATAGTTTTAAAGTTCTATTCCTAGCACTTGTGGACATCTTTTTGATAAATTCTAATATTTTATTTATTAAGTACATGCTAAATACTTAATGACATTACTTTTCAATTATGTACTTTTTTGTGGGTACTGCAATTTGACCTCAAGGCCTGGCACTTGCTTGGTTGGCTTATTCCACTGACACACTACACTTGAGCTAAATCTCTCATGTTGTACAGAAAGGTTACAATTTCATAACTCAGGTAATGAGTACAATTGTGGCATCATGTTTTTGTTTTGGTGTTGTTTGTTTGTATTTTTTGAAAAGCACACAGGCCCTGAGTTCAAGCCCATAGGATTGGTGCTCTCTCTCTCTCCCTCTCTCTCTCTCTGTCTTTCTGTCTCACACACACATACACACAAACTGACTTTTTTGACCAAAGATTGTATGATAAATCAAGTTTATATCTGTAAGGTTTATGTTATTCATATTTTACCATCATTGTTTTTACATAGTTCAGATAGAAAGGAGTGACCTTCACATTTCCTTCTGTAGCCAGGAACCAACTGGCTGGTTGAGATCTTGTGTGTCATTTGCAGCAAGGGGGATCTGGAGTGGATCCGGTCTCTGCCCATCTGGGATTGATTCCCATGAGATCAAGAGTGAAAATGGATCCAAAATAACAAAAGACATGAAGGAGAGCCCCAACCTCCTCTCCTCCCACCTCCCCAGCCAACTCTTCCCCAAGTCTTTCTTCCCTTCCAAGGCCAAGGTCTGTGCTCAATGCCCAATAACTGTTCAGTCAGGGTATTATCTTTTTGTTCTGGGGCTTGAACTCACAGCATAGAAACTCACCTTGAGCTTTTTAGCTCAAGGCTAGTGCTCTAACACTTGAGCCACAGCTCACCTCCTAGTCTTTGGTGGTTAATTGGAGGCAAGAACCTTGAGCAAAAGAGCTCAGGGACAGCATAAAGGTCCTGAGTTCAAGACCATGATTGGCAACAATAATAGAGAGAGAGAGCAAAGGACTGGGGTGTGGCTGAAGAGGCAGAATGCCTTCCCAGCATGCACAGGCCTTCAATTCAATCTCCACACTATAAAACACTCAGAAAACAACAGCAGGGCATTGCATGGCACCCTGCTCCTGGGCATCAGGGCCTTGTGAGCAGCTGAGGCATTGGCTCCATCCCAGCCCTGGCCAGGAAAACTAGGTGACCAAATGCCAGGAACTATCCCAACTCCTGAGCCAGGCTATGAGGGAATAGAGTGCTCTCTCTCATGTCTTCTGTGATCCTTCTAGAAGGCCGTGTTCTGGCCCTTTCCACAGGGCTATGCACACAGGATCCCCACAGTGACAGGAATACACCCTTCCTGAATGTTCCCACACAGCTCCCACTGCCTCCTCAAGATGCAGCAACTAGCAGGAAAATCTTTATTTACAGGAAAACAAACATAAAACAAGCCATTTAATACTAAATTAGTAATAATTATAATAATAACGATGTCACCGGTGGCTCAATCAATGCTTTTGAATCTTGAATCCTCATAATGTAGCCCTGGAAATGAGGCCAAGTTGCATTTGCCTTCAGCAGTTCACTGTGGCCCTGGGGTCACATTCACCAGCTGAGAGACCTCAGACCTAAGATGTGGACCAGTGCAGATGGGCCCTCACAGATGATCTGGGTGCCAGAATCTTCAAAAACACCATTTAACTGCACTTATAAATCTCCTTTATACAGATCTACTTGCCTGTGAATTCTTTGAACTTTACTCCATCAAAAATGAATAAATAAGCTGGGTCATATGGCTCACTACTGTAATCCCAGCTAGTCACTCAGGAGGTTGAGATCTGAGGATGGTGGTTCAAAGCCAGCTTAAGCAAGAAAGTCCATGAGACTCTTATTTCCCATGAACCACCAAAGCTGGAAGTACACTTGTGGCTCAAGAGACAGAGCATTAGCCTCTTGCAAAAAAAGGTCAGGAATGGTGCCCAAGCTGTGAGTTTAAACCCCTGAACTGACACATACAAACACAAAAACAATTTGTGTTCTAAGCAAGACACTGAGCAGACCCTGAATCCTTCAATATTCATCCCATTGTGTAGAACTTGGCCAAGGGGAGATTAAGACCTCATGTGTGGGAAAGATGGTAATTATTTTTTATTTTTTTCCTTTCTCCCTTCAAGGTACTCTACATCGGAAGGACGTCCTTGTGTCCAGCTATCATTTCTTGAGTGGATCAAAGTTCATAAAGAATACGCAATCACTGCAGCAGTATTTGTGAGTGGCTTATAAAGTGAAGGGATCTAAACATCCTCTGTGTGTGCATGCGTGTGTGTGTGTGTATGTGCGCATGTGTGTGTGTGTGTGTGTGCGCGCGCGCGTGTGTGTGTCTGTGTGTGTATGTCTGTGTCTGTGTCTGTGTCTGTGTTGGTCCTGGCCTTGAATTCTGGGCCTGGGCACATTCCTTTGTACTCAAATCTAGCAATCTGCCACTGGAACTACAGCTCCAATTCCATCTTTTCAGTGGTTTATTGGAAATTAGAGTCTGTCAGACTGGCTTTGAATCATGATCCTCAGAAGTCAGCCTCTTGAGTAGCTAGGATGACAGGCGTGAGTCGCTGGTGCCCAGCTAAATATAATCTTTTAACCTGTAAATATGCACAACATTTTTCTTTGCCATTTAAACCTGGAGGAAGTTGATAGCAACAAAGGAAACGTGTGGCAATCATAGACCACGTCCAGGGCTGGATGTCCATGAGGGAGAGGGAGAATGTGTTGGTGCTCAGTTATGAGGTGCTGAAGAAGGTAACGATCCATTTTCCCTGCACCCCACCCCCACTGCCACCCACCTCACGCTTCTCTAATATCCTTGATTCTTTTATTTTTTTATGTCAGTATGGGACTTGGACTCAGGGCCTGGATGCTGTCCCTGAGATTTTGGTGTTGAAGGCTGGTGCTCTACTACTTGAGCCACAGATCCACTTCTGGCTTTTTGCTGGTTTATTGGAGATAAGAGTCTCACAAACCTCCCTGCCTGAACTGGCTTCAAACTACAATCTTCAGATCTCATTCTCCAAAATAGCTAGGTTTACAGGCCTGAGGCACTGGGCTAGATCTTCCCTTCCTTCTGCTTTTTCTTACAATTTCCTCCTTCACATCTATTGTGTGTGGTCTTTCCTTTCCACATCACCTCTTTTGCTTTTCCTTTTTGCAGGATACAAGGAGAAGATCTGTCAGTTCCCGGGGAAGAAGCTGGACCCCAAAGATCTGCACTTGGTCTTGGAGAACAGCTCCTTCCAGGCCATGAAGGAAAACAAGATGTCCAATTACAGCATGGCCAACAGGAATAACTTTCCTGCTGGCGTCATAATGTCCAGGAGAGGTGTGGAACGGCTGTGGTTTAAACATCTGTCAGAGACCAGGAAGGGAATTCTTAACAGATCATTGCTTTGTGAACATGGCTTTATGGTATTGTTGTTGTTTCTGAAAACAAATTTTATTTTATTCAAATAAGGGTTTATATACATTGCATAACACTAAAACTGGGAGAAGACCAAAACCCAGCCAGTTACTTCAGGTAGCACTGGGAAGCCGTTACTAAGTTGCAAACTCTACAGCTAGCTACATGGCAGATGACTCCAGGCTGATGCTCATCCCCTTGTTAATAGTTTAATTGTTATTAGGCTGGTCTCGTATCTTTTTTCTTTTGGGCACCTGCTACCTAGGCTATGTCTGGTCAACTCAAGGTTCCCCCAAGTGCTGTTGTTGGTTGCCTTACCCCAGGCTCTCCGGAAATATCATGGGTCTTTCCTTCTTTGTTCTTTCTTTCTTTTTTCTTTCTTCCTTCCTTCCTTCCTTCCTTCTTTCTTTCTTTCTTTCTTTCTTTCTTTCTCTCTCTCTCTCTCTTTCTTTCTCTCTCTCTCTTTCTTTCTTTCTTTCTTTTTGTTGGATGTGGGGCTTGAACTCTGGGACTGGGCATTGTCCCTCAGCTCTTCAGCTCAAAGCTAGCACTCTACCACTTGAGCCACAGCACCACTTCCGGGTTTTTCTACTTATGTGGTGCTAAGGAATTGAACCCAGGGCCTCATGCATGCAAGGCAAGCACTCTACCACTGAGCCATCTTCCCAGCCCCTTCATTGCCTATTCTAATGCACCTCCCCGATCCCTGAGCCCTAATGATCTGCCTTCAGTTTGACTCTCTATCAAAGGATTTTCCTCAGAGATTTTAGGGCTGGTGGAATTCTTGGCTGGCCGCTCTGGGGATCACATGTGTAATACCAGTTACTCAGGAAACTGAGATCTGAAGATCAAGGTTGAAAGCCGGCCCAGGCAGGGAAAGTCTATGAAGCTCTTAGTACCAATTCACCAGCAAAAAGCCAGAAGTGGGGCTGTGACTCAAGTGGCAGAGCTCCAGCCTTGAGGAAAAAAGTTCAGAGACAGTGCCAAGGCCCAGTACCTTTACACACACACACACACACACACACACAGAGAAACACACATGCACATAAATGCACATACACATGCACACACTCACATGCACACACAGGTCTCCCCCACAATTCTTCCCTCTGAGGTCCAAAGGCCATGGCAGGGGTGCAAGGCAGAGCTAGAACCGAGAGCTGGTGGGCTGAGCCTTTCCTAACCATTGCTCTGTCTGATCTCAGCGTTTCTCCATGGCCTCCAGAAGAACCACATCACTGTAGCCCAGGCTGAAGTCTTCCACAAAATATCCCAGGAGAGGATCGCAGGACTTCCTCCAGAGCTGTTCCCATGGGACTAAGGTGAGACTTATGGGAGAGACTTATGTCTGTGTCTGTGGAGACAAACACTTATGTCCCCTTAGGGTCAAGGTGTAGATCTGTCACTTGATTCTGATGGTTAGAACGCTCATGTTGTATGTTTGATCCCTTGCCTCATACAAATCTCCATGGTGTCACTCTTCCATTTATAGCATCTCAGCTATGAACAAATCTTACCAAGCCAGAAGCCAGCTCAAGGCTAGTGCTCTCCTACTTGAGCCACAGCACCACTTCCAGTTTTCTAGTGGTTTATTGGAGGTAAGAGCTTCATGGATTTTCTTGACCAGGCTGGCTTTGAACTGCAGTCCTCAGATCTCAGCCTCCTGGGTAGCTAGGATTACAAGCCTGAGCCCCTGGCAGCCTATTTCCTTCTATTTCTTCTTGTGGTTCTCTTCCCTGCCATGAGCTGAAAATTGATGAGCACAGATTACCTTGAATGAGTTCACAGTTGCCCAATAAAAATCCCCACAGTGTTCTGTTTTCCCTAAATTAGTTTCACAGTGAAAGCAAAAATGTTAATGATTGGCTTCATCACCTGGGATAAAAACCCAGACTCTGCCACACCCTCCCCATTGCCAGTGGCCTGGGACCAAGAGCCAGGCACACAGGCCTCCACCATGGCTCAGGACTACATGAGGTACCAGGGCATTCCTTTCCCCTTCCTGCATCACGAGCTTGAAATCATAAAAGCAGCCCACGAGAAGTTTGTGGTGAAGGATGAGGACATCATCACGGTGACCTACCCCAAATCAGGTAAGCAGACAGGGCCGTGGCTGCATGGGAAAGGCCAGGCCTGTGCCCCACTCCCTCCAGCCTCCTGCATGGGGGTGGTGTAGTAGCTCATTATTGAAGACCTGTGGCTCAAGTGGTAGAGTGCCAATCTTGACCAGAAAAGTTCACGGACAGCACACAGGCTCTTAGTTCCAATCCCAAGAGTGGTGCATGCACAAACACACACACACACACACACACACACACACACACACTACCAACATTGTGTGAACAAAGATTATATGCTAGACAAAGTTTCTATGGGTAAGGCTTGTGTTATGTATATTTTACCATCATGGTCTTTATACAATTCAGATAGTAATGAGTGACCTTCACTTTCCTTCTGTCTCCAGGAACCAACTGGATGATTGAGATCCTGTGTCTCATTCACAGCAAGGGGGATCCAGAGTGGATCCGCTCTGTGCCTATCTGGGATCGCTCCCCATGGATCGAGACTGTACGTGGATCCAAAATCATTAAGGACAGGAAGGAGGGGCCCCAGCTCCTCACTTCCCACCTCCCCATCCAACTCTTCCCCAAGTCTTTCTTTACTTCCAAGGCCAAGGTCAGTGATCAGTGCTCAATAACTGTTCAGTAAATGCTTTTTTGGGGGGGGGATGGGGTGCTAGTTCTGGGGCTTGAACTCAAGGCCTGGGCACAATCCTTGAGCGTTATTGCTCAAGTCTAAAGCTTTACCACTGCTCCCCTTCTAGCTTTTTGGTGGTTACTTGTACAGATAAGAGTCTCACAGACTCTCCTGCTTGGGCTGGCTTTGAACCTTGATCCTCAGATCTCAGCCTCCTGAGTAGCTAGGATAACAGATGTGAGCCACTGGCTCACTCAATGCTTTTGAATCTTGAATCCTCATAATATAGACCTGGAGATGAGAGCAAGCTGCATTGGCCTTCAGCTGTTCACCGTGGTCTTGGGGTCACATTCGCCAGCTGAGAGACCTCAGACCCAAGATATGGACCAGTGCAGTTGAGCCCTCACAGATGACCTGTCGGCCAAAGTCTTTAAAACTACTTTAAGTTCAACTAGAGATTACAAATCTCCTTTATACAGAACTACTTGCCTGTCTGTTCTTTGAACTTTACTCCATCAAAAGTAAGTTCCCCAGGCACCATGGCTCATACCTGTCATCTCAACTAGCTGCTCAGGAGGCTGAGAGCTGAGGATCATAATTCATAGCTAGGCCAGGCAGAAAGGTCTGTGAGACTCTTATCTCCAATGAACCAGCCAAAAAGAAAAACCAGTGGTGCTGCAGCTCAAGTGTTAGAGTTGCCAGCCTTGCTTGGAAGAACTAAAGGAGAACAACGCTCAGTCCCAGCACTGTCCCACAAAATGAACGAATAAATGAACAAATAAAAGGAAAGATAAGTTCTGGAATCATTCCCCCAAACACAAAATCGGACTCTGGAGTCCAAAGGCCAAGACATCTATCTGTGACTACCAGCTTAAGGACAGTTCAGGGTCACTGCACCTCGGATCTGGGAGCGCTGGCTTGGAAGGCAGCTTTTGTGAATACACAGCTAAGCACTAACAATGAGAGGATGAGTCCAGGAGTTTGTTCTCTGGAGAGAGATCCCGGTTTGGGCTCAGCAAACACTTCCTGGTTGAACTCCAGCTCAGATTCACTGCTTCCTGGCTCTTAGTCCTGAGCCTCTGTCTATCAGGGCCACATCCTGGTGGCTCTCTATGGGGTCAGCCATGTGTGTGGCTCTACCTGACTATGTTTTTCCATTTGCCTCTCGAGGCTTTCTACAGAAAGGCTCAGAAATCGCACGCCAGTCCATAAATATTCCTCAGGTCTCTGGCAATTCTCCTTCCATTGTTTTATTCTAAGCCAAGCGATTCCCTTATAGGAACTTGGAAATGCATTTAAAAATGAGTTTCCTGCCCGGTGCTGGTGGCTCACACCTATAATCCCAGCTACTCACTCAGGAGGATGAGTTCTTGTTTCTTTTTATTATTATTATTGTGAAAATACCGTACAAAGGGGTTACAATGACATGGGCAAGGTATTTTTTTTTATATATATACTAAAAAAAAAAAGAAAGAAATGCTTTCTTTGGAAGTGGAGCTGTGGCTCAACTGGTAGAGAGCACACAAGCTCAGGGACAAGCCTAGACCTTGAGTTCAAACCCCAGGACTGGCACAGAAAAAAAAGGTAGGTAACAAGGTAAGATTTTTTAATTTCCTCATTATTATTATTATTTATTATCTTTAAGTAGTTGCACAAAGAAATTCCCATTCTACAGAATAGTATACGAATACAAAGTGTCTGACAACATTCTCACCCATCTCTCTTAACCCATCCCTTCTTTCACTTTTTGTCTTTAATTGAGATGAGGTGATTACATAAATTTCACATATTTCACAGTATTGTGGAATAGTGACACTTACTTAGAGTCACAAACACATTTTTAACTTTCACAAGGCAAATTGTCATTATCATGGTCTGTACAGTTTGCGAATTCTATGAGCTTTGATAATACAAGTTATTTTTTCTACATCAGATGATGTTGACATTTATTTCCTTTTGCTTCGTGTGGGCTGTTCCCACTTATTCTGTTCTTCCTCCTGGCTTCCCTCTGTTGCGTGCATATATCTACCTCGAACATGGAGTCATTTAGCAATGATATGATAAAATGGGTGGCTGTCCTTTGTTTCTTAGTCCTGTTTGCCATATCTTCTTGTATTTTGGCTTTAGCATCCACATATCAGGGAGACCATGTGCCATTTGTCTCTTTGTTCTTGGCTTACTTCACTCAAAATAATCTTCTCTAGTTCCATCCATCTCCCTGAAAATGCCATTATTTTGTCCTTTTTAGTGGCGGCATAATATTCTATTGTATATAGGTACCACAATTTTGGGATCCACTCATCAGTGGCGGGACATCTGGGTTGTTTCCAAATCATAGCTATTGTGAACAGTGCTGCAATAAACATGGAGGTTCATGTGTCCTTGTACACTAGTTTCTATTGTTCAGGATAGATGCCTAGAAGTGGTATGGCTGGGTCGTAGGGAAGGTCTATATTTAGCTTTCTGAGGTATCTCCAGACTGTTTTCCAAAGTGGTTGTATTAGTATACATTCCCACCAGCAATGCAGTAGGGTTCCTCTTTTTCCACATCCCCTCCAACATTTGTCGTTGGCTGACTTTAGGATGTGGGCCATTCTGACTGGGGTAAGGTGGTATCTCAGTGTTGTTTTTATTTGCATTTCCTTTACAACCAGGTATGATGAGCATTTCCTCATGTGTTTCTTTGCCATTTTTATCTCTTCTTCTGAGAAGTCTCTTTTTAGTTCCCTTGCCCATTTCATGATTGGTTTGTTAGATTTGTGAGGGGTTAGTTTCTTGAGTTCCCTGTGTATAATGGGTATTAGACCCTTGTCTGATATTTTGCTGGTAAATATTTCCCCATTAGTTGACTGTCTTTCTAGTTTGGTTGCTATTTCTTTGTCTATGCAGAAACTTTTTATTTTAAGGTAGTCCCATTTGTCGAGTCTCTCTCCAATTTGTTGTGATGCAGGACTCTGTTCAGGAAGTTCCTTCCTGTGCCTATTAGTTCAAGTGTCTCTCCTACTCTGTGCTGCAGTAGTTTCAGAGATTCAGGTTTAATGTTAAGGTCTTTAATCCATTTTGAGTTGATGTTGGTGCATGGTGATAGGCTGGGGTCCACTTTTAGTTTTCTGTATGTGGCCTCCCAGTTTTCCCAGCACCAGTAGTTGAAGAGACTGTGCTTCTTCCACTGTATGTCTTTGGCTCCTTTGTCAAATATCAACTGACTGTACATATGCAGTTTTATTTCTGGGTCCTCTAATCTGTTTCGTTGGTCTTCGGGTCTCTTTTTGTACCAGTACCAAGCTGTCTTTGTTATTATGACTCTATATTAGAGCTTGAAATTCAATATTGTGATTCCTCCTCCTAGAATTGCTTTGGCTATTCTAGGTCTTTTGTTGTTCTATATTTCAATAAAGTACTTCATTGGGATTTTAATGGGAATTGCATTGAATGTGTATATCAATTTTGACACTATAGCCATTTTCACTATGTTAATTCTGCCTATCCAGGAACATGGGAGATCTTTCCATTTCCTGGTATCCTCTATAGTTTCTTTTTTAGCTTTTATGGTTTTCATGAAGTAGATCCTTTACATCTTTGGTAAGGTTAATTCCTAGATACTTTTTTTAGGTTATTATGAATGGGGTTTTCCTTGATTTCCCTTTCTGTTTGTACATTGTTGGTGTACAGAACGGCGACTTATTTTTGTGGGTTAATTTTGTATCCTGCTACTTTGCCAAAGTGGTTTATAAGCTCTAAGAGTTTGGGGATGGAGCCTTTGGGATCGTTAAGGTATAAAATCATGTCATCTGCAAAAAGAGATAGTTTAACTTCTTCCTCCCCTATGCGGATCCCTTTAATGTCTTTTTCCTGACTTGTTGTTCTGGCTAAGGGTTCCAGAACTATATTGAAGAGGAGTAGAGAGAGTGGGCATCCTTGCCTTCTTCCTGATTTTAGGGGAATTGGTTATAGTTTTTCCCCATTAAGTATGATATTGGCTATTAGTCTGTCATATAAGGCTTTTATTGTTTTAAGGAATGTTCCTTCTATTCCAATTTTTTCCAGAGCTTTTAACATGAATGAATGTTGTATTTCATCAGAAACCTTTGCTGCATCAATGGGGATAATCATGTGGTTCTTGACTTGGATCTGTTGATGTGATGGCTTATACTTATTGACTTACGAATGCTAAACCATCCCTGCATCTCTGGGATGAAGCCTACTTGGTCATAATATATGATTTTTTTTTATATGTTTCTGGATTCTGTTGGCTTGAATTTCATTGAGGAGCTTTGCATCTGTGTTCATCAAGGAGATTGGTCTGTAGTTTTTTTTTTTTTGTTAGGTCTTTGCCTGGTTTGGGGATGAGTATGATATTGACATCATAGAATGAGTTTGGAATTACTCCCTCTGCTTCTATTTCTCTGAAGAGTTTGAGGAATATGGGTGTTAGTTCCTCTTTAAAGGTCTTATAGAATGCCATAGTGAATCCACTTGGTCCTGGGCTTTTCCTTGTTGGAAGGCTTCTGATTGCTTCCTCTAGCTCAATGTAGGTTATTGGCATATTTAATTGATTTATTTCTTCTTGATTCAGTTTGGGCAATTTGTATTTCTCTAGGAATTCATCCATTTCTGCTAGGTTTTCCTTCTTTTGTGAGTATAGAGTCTGGCAATAGTTCTTTATAATTGTTTGGATATCTTGGGTGTTTGTTGTAATTTTTCCTGTGGCATCTCTGATCTTATTGATTTGAGTCTCCTCTCTTTTATTTTAGTTAATCTTGCCAGTGGTCCATCAATTTTATTGATTTTTTTTTAAAAAAATCAGCTTTTTGTTTTATTAACTTATTTATAGTTTTCTTAGTCTCTATTTCATTAATTTCAGCTCTGGTTTTGGTTATCTCGCTCGCTCCATCTAGTAACTTTAGGTTCAACTTTTTCTTATGTCTCTAGCAGTTTTAGTTGCATCATGAGATTGTTTATTTGGTCTGTCTCTGTTTTCTTGATGTGAGCACTGAGAGCAATAAACTTGTCCATCAGGAATGCTTTAGCTGTATCCCATCGGTTTCTTTGTGATGTGTCTTCATTTTCATTGAATTGTAGGAACTTTTTAATTTCTTCTTTAATTTCTTCTGTGACTCATGTGTTGCTCAGCAGTGTGCTGTTTAATTTCTGTGTGTTTGACAGGAGGCTGAGTTCTGAGGATCCCAATCCAAAGCCAGCCTGAACAAGAAAATCCATGAGACTCTCGCTTCCAATGAACCACCAAAGTTGGAAGTAGAGTTGTAGCTCAAGTGATAGAGCACTAGCTTTGAGCAAAAAAGTTCAGGGATGGTGCCCAGGTCATGAGTTCAAGCCCCAGGCACATATAAACAGAAAAACAATTTGTGTTCTAAATGAGACACTGAGCAAGATCATTGATCCTTTGATATTCGTCCCATGGTGTAGACCTTGTCTGAGGAGAGATTAAGACCTCATGCGTGGGAAAGATGGAAATTTTTTTTCTGCTTTCTCCTTTCAAGGTGATCTATGTCATCAGAAATCCAAAGGATGTCCTTGTGTCCGGATATCATTCTGGTAGTGGATCAAAGTACATAAAAAATCCACGGTCACTTCAGGAGTTTTTGGAATGGTTCATCGAAGGCAACTGTGAGTGGGTTTTGACATGAGACGATCCAAACATTGTGTGTGTGTGTGTGTGTGTGTGTGTGTGCGCGCGCGCGTACACGTGCGCACGCGTGCACATGTGCACACACCAGTTCTGGGGCTTGAATTGGGCCTGGACACTTTCCTTCAGGTTTTTTATTCAAATCTAGCAATCTGCCACTTGAGCCACAGGTCCACTTCCATCTTTTTAGTGGTTTATGGGAAATAAGAACCTCATGGTCTGGCTTCGAACCATGATCTTCAGATGTCAGCCTCCTGAGTAACTAGGATGACAAGCATGAGCCACTGGTGTCCAGCTGAATATGATATTTTAATCTGTAAACATGCACAAGAATTTTCTTTGTCAAGTAACTAGGATGACAAGCATGAGCCACTGGTGTCCAGCTGAATATGATATTTTAATCTGTAAACATGCACAAGAATTTTCTTTGTCAATTATACCTGCAGGAAGTTGATAGCGACAGAGGAAACGTGTATAGATCATAGACCACATCTGGAGGTCCAGGAGTTGATTATTTGTCCCTTATTACCCACCCTGCAGTGCCTTATGGGTCATGGTTTGCACATGTCCAGGGCTGGATGTCCATGAGGGAGAGAGAGAACGTGCTGGTGCTCAGTTATGAGGCTCTGAAGAAGGTAAAGATCCATTTTCCACGCACCTCACCCCACAGCCCTCTCAACACTGACACACATCTCCCTTTCTTCATAGACCCCGCTCCACCAGTCAAATTTCCCCATCCTAGCTATTAAGAGGCTGAGATCTGAGGATGACGGTTCAAAGACAACCTGGGCAGGCAAATCCATAAAATACTTACTTCCAATGAAATGAAGCTATGACTCAAGTGGTAGAGTGCTAGCTAACCTTGAGCCACAAAGGCTCAGGGATCAGCACCCAACCCTGAATTTAAACAACTCACACACACACACACACACACACACACACACATGCACACACGCGCACACACACAGAGATAGTAAAGAAATCTGTGTTGCTCAAACATAAGCTTTGGGACACTATGATACCTGATCTTTATAATTGTCAAATTATCACTTCATAATTGTACAAATGTGCCCACCCCTCTCTCTTTCTTTCTTGTCCATAGTAGGGCTTGAACTCTGGGCCTGTTCACTTAGATTTTTTTGCTCAAGGCTAATGCTCTACCATGGTGAACCACGGTGCCCATTCCTGTTTCCTAGTGTTTTTTTTTTTTTGGAGATAAGAGTCTCTCAGACCCTCCTGCCCCCAATATCTTTGAACTGTAATCCTCAGATCTCAGCCTCCTGAGTAGCTAGGATTATAGGAGGCAGACACCAGGTCTTGGCTCCATGCCATGAACCATAAAATGACATCCCAGTGCTCGGTGCTTGGATCAAATCCTTCCAGTCCTCCTTCCTATCCTGCTCTCATCCCTTCCTCCCTTCTTGCTCCCAACTCAGCCTCTGTCACATGAGTCTGTCATGGCACTTGGCTATTTGTCCCTTCTGGTCCTCTCTCCACACCTCCTTCCTCCTGAGACACGCTCTGTGTGGTGTCCTGCTTTTGCCTTCTTGCAGGACACGAGGAGCACTGTGGAGAAGATCTGTCAGTTCCTGGGGAAGAAGTTGGACCCTGAAGAGCTAGACTTGGTCTTGGAGAACAGCTCCTTCCAGGCCATGAAGGAAAACAAGATGTCCAATCACAGCCTGCTGAGCAAGAATTTCTCTTCTGCTGAAGTCTTAATGACTAGGAAAGGTATGGAATCGCTGAGGTTTAAAGATCTGTCAGAGACCACAAAGGAAATTTTTAGTATATCCTTGCTTTGTAAATATGGATTTATGGGCTTTTTTTTTCTTCCTTTTTGGTTTGTTTTTAAGGTGTATGTCAATCCTGGTGCTTGAACTCAGGGCCTGGCTGTTGTCCCCCTTTTTAAAATGTTTACTGAAGGCTGGCCCTCTACCACCTGAGCCACAACTCCACTTCTGGATTTTTGGTTGTTCATTGGAGATCAGAGTCTCATGAACTTTCCAGAGCTGGCTTCAAACCTCCATCCTCCAATCTCAACCCTTTGAGTCACCAGGATGACAGGTGTAAGCCACCAGCGCCCAACTGGCTTTATGTATCTATTAGACATTTTTATTTCTTCATCTCAGAATAGCTTTTCAATTTCATTGCCCATCTAATAATTGTCTGTACAACGTTAAGCTCTTTGTCCATTCTAGATATTTGCCCTCCATCCACTGAATAGCTGGTGAAGATTCTCGCCCATTCTGAAAATTGCTTTTGTTTTCCTGTTGGTATTGTTTTATCTTTGTTTTTTGAGCAGAAACGTTTTAATTCTATGCAGCTATATTCATTTATCTATTCTATTTCTTCTTAGTTGAAGCCTTAGAGTTTTTGGCAGAAAATTACCACCTGTGTCTCTATTATCCAGAGATTTCCCTGTGAAATGGAAAGGCTTGGGGACCACATTGAAATCCTCTGTTTCTGCTAGGCCTGTGTTTCTTAGGTTTGGTGTCTTCATTATGGCCCATTGGGTTTTTTTTGCTTACTCAGGTTCCATTTTTACTTCTTTCTACCTTCCTGTTTCTTCATTGCCTGTTTGAATGCACCTCCCCAACCCCTAAACCCTGATGTTCTATCTTCTGTTTGCTCTCCTCTATGGAAGGATTTTCCTCAGAGATTTTAGAGCTGGACAACACCAAATCCATCATTGAATTCACTGAGCTCTTGGTAAACTTCTTTGTTGGTCAGGTACTAGTGGCTCATGCCTATAACCCCAGCTACTTAATATCTGAAGATCAAGGTTCAAAGCTAGGCCAGGCAAGGAAAGTCTGTGGAACTCTTAGCTCCAATTCACTAGCAAAAAGCCAGAAGTGGAGCTGTGACTCAAGTGGCAGAGCACCAGTGTTGCACAAAAATGCTCAGAAATAGCCCCCAGGCCCAGTGTTTGCACACACACACACACACACACACACACAGAGGCATATGTACACACAAATGTGTGTATGCATACATGCACACCTACAAGCAAATACACATAATTGCATGCATATCTGCATGCATTCACACAGTTTTTCTTAGAATTCTTCCCTTTGAGCTTCCATGTCCATGATTGATGGAAGGCAGGGCCGGGGACAGGGAGGCGGTGGGCTGGGCCCTGCATACCCATTGCTCTGTCTGATGTCTATATTTCTCCATGGCCTCCAGGCATCGTAGGGGACTGGAAGAACCACTTGACCGTAGCCCAGGCTGAAACCTTCGACCAAATATTCCAAAAGAAGATGGAAGGATTTCTCCCAGAGATACTCCTGTGGGACTAAGTCCAGACTTCTCCCTGTGTCTGTGGAGATGAAGACTTGTGTCTCCTTGGGGTCAGGGTGTAGATCTGTCACTTGATTCTGGTGGTTAGAATGTTCACATTGTAAATTTGATCACTTGTCTGATACAAATCTCCATGGTGCCACTCTTCCATGTATAGCATCCCAGCTATTAACAAATCTTACAAAGCTGGAAGCTGGTGACTCATGCCTGTCATGCTAGCTACACAGGAGGCTGAGATCTGAGGATTGAGATTCAAGGCCAGCCTGGGCAGGAAAGTCCATGAGACCCGTATTTCCAGAAACACAAAAGTAATGATATGAATCAAAGTGGCAGAGTGGTAGCCTTGAGCAAAAATGTTCAGAGAAAACACCCAGGCCCTGAAATCAAACCCCAGGACTGGCAGAGACACACATATCCTCACACATATACACATCCACATAATCACACACACACACACACACACACACACACACACGCACACACACACACAAACCACCTCCCAGTGATGTTAGAGGAGTATTTGGTGTTGCTGAAATCTGCAAGGTCAGGACAAAGAAAGGAAGTCTGAGAAACTCTCCCAGCCTCCAGGAGCCTGAGGAGCCATGGGGATCATGATACAAGGATCATGGCTGAGATTCTGGGGCATGGAGATCCTGGGGGAAACAGAAAACATGGAAGGAAAATACACTGCGTACTTTGGGCAAGGATTTTGTGGCGACATTACTGAAGTGAACTTAGGGCCTTGAGGCAGAAGTCCAGCCTCCTCCTTTGAGTTTTTGTGATATATACACCTATTTTCAACATAAAAGAGTCAAAAGTTTTTTAAAAAATTAAGAAAAACCTTTGCTAAAGCATATTTCCTTCTAATTCCTCTTGTAGTTCTGTTCCCTGCTGTGAACTGAAAATCTACAAGCATAGATCACACTTGAATGATTTCACAGTTGCCCAATAAAAATCCCCAGGTAACAATCGTGTATGTTTTGTTTACTTTACCCTCATTAGCTTCACAGTAAATGAAAAATTGTAATGATTGCCTTCACCGCCCACCTGGGATGAAAATCCAGACTCTGCCACGCCCTCCCGGGTGGCAGTGGCCCGTGATCAATAACCAGACATGCAGGGCTCTGCCGTGGCTCAGGACTACGTGTGGTACTAGGGCATTCCTTTCCCTGCTGCGGATTTCTACCCTGAAGTCATAAAAGCAGTCCACAAGGAGCTGGTGCTGAAGGATGAGACATCATCACGGTGACCTACCCCAAATCAGGTGAGCAGACGGGGCCGTGGCTACATGGGAAAGACCAGGCCTGTGCCCCCTCCAGCCTCTTGTGTGGGGACAGTGTAGTAGCTCATTATTGAAGACCCAGTGGTAGAGCTGGGTCAGTGGTAGAGCTCCAGCCTTGAGTGCAACAGCTAGGGACAGCAGCCAAACTGGTGCACACACACACACACACACACACACACACACACACACACACACTAGTTTTTTGAGGAGCTCTATGGTATATTAAAATGAAAAGGATGATTTTGATGTTACTTGGAGGCAGGATTTCAGGGAGAAGAATTGTCATGGAACATGGCTGGGAACCCAAAAGCTTCTGGTGAATACAAGGAACTGGCAGACCAGGGTGTCATGTGTCAAGGAGAACACTGGGAATTCAGAGCATGCATGTGAGCATGCATGTGTGCTTGTGTGCGTGTGCGCGGGCATGTGCTCATACGTGCAGCTAAGAAGCACCGCCAACCTCCATGGGCATCACGCCCTGCATCTTCCCCTTCTGGCACTGGCATGTGATTTACCAAGAGTTCACTGAGGGCGACCAGGTGTTCAGAAGGAAGTGGTGCTTCCCAACCCCTGGCTGCAGCCAGGACCTGGTGTAGAAGTACTGCTGAGTGGTGAGGTGGGGCAGGGGCCACTCAGAGTGAATGAATGCATGCATGCTTGCATGAATATATGCATGCATCACCTCTGGTCCTTTCTTTGTTCTTTCCTGGCAGGGTAGAGGGAGACACAGCTGCCACCACCAGGGATCAGTGCTGGCTGCAGGGGTTGGGTGTCTACCTGCCTGCCAGCTGGAAAATGTGCATGGGGATGTGGGGTCACAGCGGCTGCCTCCTCAGAACTGTCACTCCCCAGGGACAGTCACGCCAGCGGTGTGTCACTGCTTCTCCTTGCTGGTTGTCAACTCCCAGCACTCTCTAAGCTGAGTAGCCCCTCAGGAGACGGGGGGCGGGGGAGGGCGAATGGGGGAGCTTATACAGCTCAGCTCTCAAAGGCACTTGAAGCCAGGCAATGAGCTCACGCCTGTCATACAACAAGCCGGGAGGCTGAGAGCTGAGGACTGAGATTGGAAGCCAGCCCAGGCAGGAAAGTCTGTGGGCCTCTGATCTCCAAGGAACCACCAAAAAGCCACTGTGGTTCAAAATGGTAGAGTGTTAACCTTGAGCAAAAGAGCTTAGAACAGTGCTCAGGACATAAGATCAAGCTCCAGCCCTGGCACACACAAACAGACACACACACACACACACACACACACACACACACACCATCCCATTGATGTTACACAAGTATTTGATGGTCCTCAAATCTGCAAGGTCAGGACAAAGCAAACAAGGCTGAGAAACTCTCCATGTGCTGGAGCCTGAGGGAAGCAGATGTTCGCCTTGACCCCCGATACCCTCCATATGTGTGGGGTTCTTTGCTGAAGCCCCACTTCCTCTGCCAGAATTAACTCTCAGCTCCTCACAGGCACCTGGCAAGGAAGCCAGCCAGCTTGGTTTCTGGTTCCTGGTGGCCAGGAAGACAGCCATGGTGAGCAAGTGAGTTACTTTCACAGAGAGACCAAGACAGTTAATGACCACCTTCAGCACCCGGATGAAACCCAGACTCTGCCACCCCCTCCCGGGTGGCAGTGGCTGTGGCCTGGGACTAAGAGCCAGGCAGGCAGGGTCATCTTTTTTTTTTTTTGTCAGTCATGGGGCTTGAACTCTGGGCCTGGACGCTGTCCCTCTGCTCTACCACTTGAGCCACAGCGCCACTTCTGGTTTTCTGAGTGGTTTATTGGAGATAAAGACTCTTATGGACTTTCCTGCCTGGGCTGGCTTTGAGCCACAATCCTCAGATCTCAACCTCTTGAGTAGCTAGGATGACAGGCCTGAGCCACCAGTGCCTGGCTTTTCTCAATATTTTTAAAGTTCCCTATGGAGCACTTGTGGACACCTTTCAAATTCTAACACTTTTTATTGAGTCCAGGATAAACACTTAAGGATGTAACTTTTCTTTTTTATTCTTTTTTCTTTTTTGTTTGTTTCAAATTCTTTATTGTGATTAAGTGGCTACATAATTTCTCAAATTTCACAGCATTGTGGATAGTGAAGCTTAGTTAAAGTCACAAACACATTCTAACTTTCATGGGACAAATTGTCCATCATACTCTATAACATTTATGAGTTTTATGAGCTTTGCAATACAGTTATTTCTTCCACATTGGGTGATGTGTACATTTCTTTTGTTTTGCACAGCATCAGCTATTCCCTCTTTCCAGCTTGTTCCCTCCCTCCCATCGCTGCCATTGTGTTGCTTAGTTTATTTTGGTCAATGTCCAGTGCAGCTGATGGTACCACTGTTGTATGTTTCTCCCTGATTCCTTCTAATTCTGTATTGTCCTCCTGGTTTTCCTCCAGTGTGCACATATATACCACATATGTGATCAGCAGCATGGGGTTATTTAGTAAAGATTCGATCAGATGAGTAGAAGTCCTTTGTTTCTTAAGTCTTATTAATTTTGTCATATTACCTATGCTTTGGATTTAACATCCACTTACAGGGAGACCATGTGCCGTTTGTCAATTTGCTCTTGGCTTACCTCACTCAACATGATTTCTTCTAGCTCCATCCATTTCCCTGCAAATGCCATTATTTTGTCCTTTCTAATGGCTGCATAACATTCCATTGTGTATAGATACCACAATTTTTGGGTCCATTCATCTGTGGTGGGACATCTGCATTGTTTCCATATCCTAGCTATTGTGAACAGTGCTGCAATAAACATGGAGGTGCACGTGTCCTTGTATGCTGGTTCCTGTTGTTCAGGATAGATTCCTAGAAGTGGTATGACTGGGTCATAAGGGAGGTCAATAGTTAGCTTTCTGAGGACCCTCCAGACTGCTTTCCAAAGTGGTTGTATAAGTGTACATTCCCACCAGCAGTGTAATAGGGTTCCTCTTTTTCCACATACCCTCCAGCATTTGTCGTTGGCTGACTTGTGGATGTGGGACATTCTGACTGGGGTAAGGTGGTATCTCAGGGTTGTCTTTATTTGCATTTCCTTCACAACCAGGGATGGTGAACATTTCCTCATGTGTTTCTTTGCCATTTTTATTTGTTCATCTGAGAAGTCTCTCTTTAGTTCCCTTGCCCATTTAGTAATTGGTTTGTTAGGTTAGGGAGGGATTAGTTTCTTGAGTTCCTTGTGTATACTAGATATTAAACCCTTGTCTGATATATTGCTGGTAAATATTTTTCCCAGTTAGTTAGTTGTCTTTCTAGCTTGGTTGCTATAGCTGTAGCTGTGCAAAACCTTTTTATTTGTTGAATCTCTCTCCAAGTTGTTTTGATCCAGGTACTCTGTTCAGGAATTTCCTGCCTGTGCCTATAAGTTCAAGTGAGGATGTAACTTTTCAGTTATTAATTTGGTAGGGGGCAGTTCTGAGATTTGAACTCAGGGCCTTGAACTTGCTTGGCTTGAGTATCCAGCTGGCACATTACCACTTGAACCATATCTACACTGTTGTATGGGGAAGGGGTGGAGGGTGTTAACATTTCCTAACTATTGAATACATTTGTTTTTTGGTTCTTTTTTTTTAAAATTAAAGTCCCCAGGCCCTGAGTTCAAGCCCCAGGACTGGCACAAAAAGAAAAAAATGTGGGCAGTCATTGGCAACTGGAAAGCTTACAATAAACACAAGGACCTGGCAGAACAGGCCATAATCCAGGGGATTGTGTGTGACTCAGGCCTGGGATGGGAGCAGGAGGCGAGCACCCAGCACACACACTGAGCACTGAGTAAAGGAAATGTGCTGAAAATCAACAGACAGGAGGATGAACTGAAGGGATTCCAGGAACAGCCAAGAGGTGGAGTAACCCCCAATATCCTCAGAGAAACAGCTGCATAGTCAGAATAGGCCGTAGGGAATAAATAGGATATTATGCTGATTACCAATGAAGAAAACACAAAATTGGTACATACACACACACACATACAAAAGTTGAGTGACCAAAGATTGCATGCCAGCCACAGAATCTATGGGTAAGGTTTATGTTGTGTATATTTTACCATCATGGTTTTTACATAATTCAGAAAGAAATGAGTAACATTCACTTTCTTCTGTCTCCAGGAACCAACTGGATGATTGAGATCCTGTGTCTCATTCACAGCAAGGGGGAGCCAGAGTGGATCCGGTCTGTGCCCATCTGGAATCGAACCCTGTGAATCAAGACTAATCATAGATCTAAAATAATACAAGACATGAAGTTGGGGCCCAGCCTCCTCTCCTCCCACCTCACCATCCAACTCTTCACCATCCAACTCTTCCCCAAGTCTTTCTTCACTTCCAAGGCCAAGATCAGTGCTCAGTGCCCAAGAACTGTTCAGACAATGCTGACATCTTGAAGCTTGAACTCAAGGCCTGGGCACTGTGCCTGAGCTTTTTGTTCAAAGCTGAATCTCTACCACTTGAGCCACAGCTCAGCTTCCACCTTCTTGGTGGTTAATTGGAGATAAGAGTCTCACAGGATCCCTGCTCAGGCTGGCTTTGAACTCCAATCCTCAGATCGCAACCACCTGAATAGCTAGTATGACAGGTGAGTGACCTGTTGCCAGGCTCAATCAATGCTTTTTATCTGTAATTCTTGAAATTGTAGTCCTGAAGCTGAGGCCAAACTGCAATTGCATTCAGCAATTCAACTTGGCCTGAGGTTCGTGTTCGATAGGTAAAAGTCTTCAGACCCAAGATGTGGACCCGTACAGATGGGCCCTCACAGAGGAACTGGATGCCAGAGTTTCAAAAACCACCATTAAACTCATCTAGAACATACAAACATGCTTTATACAGAACAACTTGCCCACTTATTCTTTGAACTTTATTCCATCCAAAGTAAATAAATGAGCCAGGCTCCCGCCTGTCATCCTAGCTACTCAGGAGGCTGATATCTAAGATTGTGGTTCAAAGCCAGCTGAGGTGGGCAAGGCCACCAGATGTTTATCTCCAATAAACCAACAGAAAAAGTATAAGTGGAGCTGTGGCTCAAGTGGTAGCGTTACCAGCCTGGATCCAAACAACATAGGGATGAACAATGCCCAGCTACAACACCAGCAACAAGAATGAATGAATGAATAAATAAATAAAAGGAAAGAGAAGTTCCAGAGTAATGCCCTAAAACACAGAATCAGACTCTGGCGTCCAAATGCCAAGTCATCTTGCTGTGACCACCAGCTCAAGGACAGTTCAAGGTCATTGCATCTCAGAACTAGAGCACTGGCTTGGAAGGCAGGTTTAGTGAATACACAGCTATGGGCTCCCCATGCCTGGCAAGGAGTGGATGAGTCTGGGAGTTTGTTCTCAGTAGAGAGGTCCAGGTTTGTGTCCAGCAATCACTTTCTGGGGGCAACTCCAGCTTGGATTCAATGTTTCCTGGCTCCAGAGGTGAGCACTTTTTCCTGAGCCATGGTCACTCAAGGCCAAGACCCTGTGGCTCCTCTACATTGTCTGCCACGCATGTGGCTCTACCCAGATGTATTTTTCTACTCGCCTGTCGGTGCTTTCTACAGAAAGGCTTAGAAACCTCTCCGTGGTCCATACATATTCCACAGACATCATGTGATGCATTTTCCTTCCTTTCTTTATTCCAATTCAAGTGATTGTTTCATGGAAACTTTTGTTTTTTAGGTAGGTCGTGGGGCTTGAACTCCGGGCTGGGTGCTGTCCCTCAGCTCTTCAGCTCAAGGCTAGTGCTCTACCACTTGAGCTGCAGCACCACTTCTGGTTTTCTGGTGGTTCATTGGAGATAAGAATCTCACAAAATTTCCTGCCCAGGCTGGCTTTGAACCACAATCCTCAGTTCTCATCCTCCTGAGTAGCTAGGATGAAAGGTGTGAGCCACCGGCGCCGTGCTATTTCATGGGAACTTTAAAATACACTTTAAAATAAGTGTCTTGCCCAGTGTTAGTGACTTACACCTGTCATTCCAACTACTCCAGAGGAGAGCCGAGGATCATGGTTTCAAGACTCTACCCTGAACTCAGGGCCTGGGTGCTGTCCCTAAGCTCATATTGAATTTTTTGCTCAAGGTTGGTACTTTACCACTTGAGCCACAAACCAACATTGAGCCTTTTGTTGCTTTATTGGAGAGTAGAGTCTCACGGTCTTTCCTGCCCAGAACTGACTTCAAACCTCCATCCTCCAATCTCATCCATTTAATTAGCTAGGAGGGTAAGTGCAAGACACCAGCACCCAGCTCTCTTTCTTTATTATATATTTTTATTTTTTCATCTCTGAATGGCTTTTGGATTCCATTGCCTATCAAATAATTGTCTGTACAATGTTAAGCTCTTGGTCCATTCTGGATGATTGCCTTGCATCCCCTGAACAGCTGAAGATTCTCTCTCATCCTCAAACTGGTTTTGCTTTCTTCTTGTTGTTGTTTGCTTTTGGTTTTTGGAGGGCAGAAACTTTTTTTTCAATTTTATGCAGGCACATTCATTCATTTGTTCCATTTCTCATTGATAGAGGCTTGATAGCCCTAGGCAGAAAATTATTACCTATGTCTCTATTATCCAGAGATTTCCCTTCATGAAACATTAGGTTTCAGGGTTACACTGAAATCCTCTTTATGCTAAGCCTGTGTTTCTTAGGTTTGGTATTTTCATAGTGGACCAGTGAAGGTTTGTGTTTGTGTGTGTGTGTGTGTGTGTGATAAGTTTTACTTCTTTGCATTTTCCTGTTTCTTCATTGCCTGTCCTAATGCATATCCCTGATCCCAGAGCCGTGGTGTTCTGTCTTCAGTTTTGTCTCCTCTATCAAAGGATAATCCTCAGTGATTTGAGGCCTGAACAATACCAAATCTACCATTGAATTCACTGAGATTCTGGTAAAGTTCTTGGCTGGCTAAAAATTCACCCCTGTAATCCCAGCTACTCAGGAAACTGAGAACTAAAGGATCAACTTCAAAGCCAGGACAGGTAGGAAAATATGTGAGCCTCTTACCTCTAATTCGATGGTAGCCTTCAGCATAAAAGCTCAGTCCCAATGTTCAGTCTCAGTACTGGTGCACACACACACACACACACACACACACACACACACACACACATTTCTCAGCAGTTCTTCCCTCTGAGACCCAGTGGCTGTGGAAGTACCAAGATGGGGAGTCAGGTGTGGCTGGATTCTTGGTGCGCTGGTCCTCATCTGATCTCAGCATTTCTCTCCAGCCACCAGGCATCCCCAGGAAATGGAAGAACCACTTCACCGCAGCCCAGAACAAATCCTTGGAGAAAATACTCTGGGAGAAAGTGGCAGGACTTCCTCCAGAGCTGTTTCCATTGAGCTAAGTCCAGATTCTTATCTCTAATAAACCACCAGAAAACCGGACGTGGCACTGTGGCTCAAGTGATAGAGGCGAGCCTTGAGCTGAAGAGCTGAGGGACAGTGTCTAGGCCCAGAGTTCAAGGCCCATGACCGACAAAAAGAAAAAAGAAAAATGCCTTGAGTGCTTTTGCTAATAGCTTTTGTGTGATATGAGTAGATTGAACCTAGGACCGTAAGCCAGAAGTCCAGACCTCACTCTTGACCATTTTTGTGATATCTACACCTATCTCCAAAATTCAGTATTTGTAAATTTCCAAATTAAAAATAACCTTGCTCTCAAGCCTGCTTCCTTCTATTTCCTCTTGGCAGGTTCCCTGCCAAGAACTGACAATCTGATGAGCACAGATCGCCCTTGAAGGAGTTCACAGTTGCCCAATAAAAATACCGCGTGACCTTAGCATTGCATATTTCTTTATCATCTAATTTGTTTCAAAATGAAATGAAAAATGTTAATGATTGCTTTCACCACCCAGAATGAAAAACCCAGACTCTGCCACCTTCTCCCCGGTGGCAGTACAAGTGGTCTGTGACCAAGAGCCAGGCACGCAGGGCCCCTCCATGGCTCACGACTATTTATGGTACCAGGGCATTCCTTTCCCTGCCGTGGGTAGCAACCCTGAATTCATAAAAGCAGCCCACGAGAAGCTGGTGCTGAAGGATGAGGAAATCATCACGGTGAGCTACCCCAAATCCGGTGAGCAGATGGTGCCACAGCTACATGCCCTACTCCCACCAGCCTCCCATTTGGGGATGGTATAGTAGCTCATTTGTTTCTTTCCCTTCCGAGTAGAGGATCTCTCACAGGGATTCCTGTGTGTGTGGTGTGTCAGTGAAGGTGTTGGAGAAATGCAGTAGAGTTGGGCCTATGGCAGAATTAGGTATCTGTGACTGTCTGGGGCTAGGGGGGTTGAGTAACAGAGGAAGAAGGCTGCTGATCTCCTAGAAGAATCACTTCCAGTTTTTCCCCTTTATTTTTTTTCTAATTTACTTTATTGTTAGAGAGGTGATATACAGCCGGGTTACACTTACCTACATCAGGTAATAAGTACATTTCCTTTCACACAGCATCTTCTGTTCCCTCGTTCTCTCCCATTCCCTCCCTGCCCTGTCCACCCCTGAGTTGCACAGCTCACTTTCATAGTGTCCAGTGCACTCCACCACTGTACTTTTTCATCATTTGTGCTCTGGTTCTCTCTACCCTTTCCCTACCATCCAATAGATGTGCGTGAATACATAAGGTAAAGAATACAGAGCCATCACAAAGAGAAAAGCCACATTTGAAAAAAAGTCCTTTGTTCCCATATCTTTAGGGTTCATTTCAGTATGCATATCATTTTATATTCATACGAATAGGGGCTTTGTGATTCTCTCCTACAGCTCTTTTGATCTTACTGTACAGGAGTATCTAGAATGCTGTGCAAACTGACATATTCCTGAGTGTTTTCAATCTAACTTGTGCATACCAAGGAGATCATGAGTCGTTTGTCTCTCTGATCTTGGCTTCCCTCACTCAACATGATTTGTTGTGGTCCCATCCATTTCCTTGCTAGTTACATAATTTTATTCTTTCTAACGGCTGGGTAAAATTGCATTGCACATAGCTACGCATCTATGTGGGGCATCTGGGCTGTTTCCCCTCTTACCTATTGTAAATGGTGTGGCGATGACCATGGATGTGCAGGGGTCCTTGTCATATCCTGGCTTATGATGCTCAGACTACTTGCCTGGGAGTGGTATGGTTGGGTCATAAGGAAGATATATGTTTAGTTTTTGAGGAATCTCCGGACTGCTCTCCAGAGTGGTTGTATTAGTTTACATTGCCACTGGTGTTGCTGGAGGGTTTCTTGCCCCCATATCCCTGCCAACATTAGTTGTTGTTAGAATTCAAAATGTAGGCCAGTCTAACTCGCATGAGATGGCATCTCAGGATGGTTTTGATTCCCATGTTCTTTCAGGACAGGGAAGCTGAGCATTTCCTCATGTGCTTCTTTACTCTTCTTACCTCTTTTTCTGAGTAGTTTCTCCTTAATTGCCTTGAGCTCCTTGTATATTATTGGCTATTAGGACTTTCCCTGATGTATTCCTGGAAAAGATCTTTTCCCAGTTGGTTGGCTGTCTTCTTAGTTTAGTAACTATATCCTTAGTTGGGCAGAAATGACTTATTTTAATGTCAGTTTTTCATTTTTAAATTTAAAATTTGGTTTCCATGTGATTAATTTATTTAGGTTTTTTTATAAATGATCTTTCAAATTGGACGAGGTGGCTCACCGCTGCAAATGGTTAAGATCTGAAGATCACAGTTCCATACCAGCCTAGGCAAGAAAGGCTGTGGGACTCCAATCTCCCATTAACCTCCAGAAAATGGGAGGTGGTGCTGGGGCTTAAAGTGGTAGGGAGCTAGCCTTGAGCAGAAGAGCTCAGGGATGGCACCTTGAGTTCAAACCCCACAGCATCTGTACCAAAGGATTCAATGCCAAGCTGCCCATTTCCTAGGAGGCATCTTGACCGATGTCACCCCTCCACATACATTTTAGAACAAACATTTCAGACTATTGGCCTGTGTGCACATGCCAACTTGGTCGAAGTGGTTTTCACTGAGGCTGTTTTTAAACGTGTAGCTACATTGGAAGCTGGCATATGAAGATATGCTGGCTTTCTCTTTCCCTACATATGTGGAAAAATTTTTTATTCTGGTATTTTAGTTTTCTCAATATTTTTAAAGTTCTATATCTAGCACTCATGGACACCTTTCAAATAAAGTGTAATGCTTTTTTATTTAGTGCATGCTAAACATTGAAGGAGTAACTGTTCAATTATTTATTTCTGTGGGAGGCAGTACTGGGATTTGAACTCAGAGCCTTCTACTTTCTTGGCTTGCCTACTCAGCTAGCAATCTACCACTTGAACCATATCTCCAGCACCTCTTTTTTGTTCATATAATTTTATTTGTTCTTATTAAGGTGTTTTACAGAAGTCAAGTAATAAGCACATTTGTTTTTGGAAAGTGTGCAAACCAAGCCCCAGGACTGGCACAAAAAGAAAACAAATATTCTCTTTAGGCAGTAGTTGGGAACTGGAAACTTCCAGCAAATACAAGGCAGTAGCAGAACAGGCCCTAATGGGGGCGGCCAGGGGAGGAGCACCAGGATGGGGCAGAGCCAGCACAGAGCACACACTGCACGGGAAATGCGCTGAGAATCAGGAGCCAGGAGCAGTGCAGGGATTTCAGGAACAGCCACGGGGTAGATCCATCCCAATTATCCACAGAGACTCGCTGCTTAACCCCAGTAGGCTCTGGGAATAAATGGAGAGTGACGCTGATTACCAGTGCTACTGGAAGCACACAAGGGCAGGCCGTCGTGAGAAGACAGATGGTGTGTGACTTGTACCATGTGCAAAGCCCACAGCCACCACAGCCTAGAAGAGACAGGAGAACTGTGGGGGCCTGGACAGGAGACAGAGCCAACTATGCACATGTGGATGGCATAGGTTTATAAGATGTTAAGGTGCTGTGGTGAGCCAGACTCTGTGGCTCATGCTCAGGAGTCTGAGATCTGAGGATTGCAGTTCGAAGACAGACTTGGCAATCAACAACCAAAAAGCAGGAGATAGAGCTGTGACTCAAGTGGTAGAACACCAACCTTGAGCAGGAAAACTCAGGGATAGCCCCAAGTTTGGAGATCAAGCTCTTGGAACCACACACACACACACACACACACACACACATATTCTGGCCATGTGTGACCAAAGATTGTATGCTTATAAGATTGTAAGTTTATATTGGTAAGGTTTATGTTATATATATTTTACCATCAAGATTTGTATGCAATTCAGATAGAAATGAGTGTCAGTCCCATTATCTTCTGTCTCCAGGAACCAACTGGGTGGTTGAGATCCTGTGTCTCATTCACAGCAAAGGGGATCCCGAGTGGATCCGGTCTGAGCCCATCTGGGATCGCTCCCCATGGATGGAGACTGAATATGGATCCAAAATCATTAAGGACAGGAAGGAGGGGCCCCCCCTCCTCTCCTCCCACCTCCCCATGCAACTCTTCCCCAAGTCTTTCTTCACTTCCAAGGCCAAGGTAAGTGAGATCTGAGGGTCAGAGTTCAAAGCCAGCCTGGGCATGAAAGCTTATGAGACTCTTATCTCCAAGTCACCTGAAAACTGGAAGAGGCACTGTGGCTCAAAGTGGTAGAGCCCAGCCTGAAACAAAACAAGCCCAGGCCTGCAGTTCAATCCCAATGACTGACCAAAAACTAAACTAAAATAAAAAAGGAAGAAATAAGCCAGGCAAGAGTGGCTTACACCTGTCACACTAGTTACTCAGGAGGCTGAGTTCTAAGGATCATAGTTCAAAAGCAACTTGGGGAGAAAAGTCTGAGAGACTCCACCAAACAAACATCACATTGGAACTGGAGCTGTGGATCAAGTGATACAGCAGTAGCTGTGAGCAAAAAAGCTGATGGACCATACCCAGGCCGTGAGTTCAAGCCTCCAGACTGTCACGCGCCCACACGCACACAAACACACACACACACACACACACACACACACACACAGCAGATCATTGATCTTTCCATACTGGTCATGTCATGTAGACCTTGGCTGAGGAGGGGTAAAGACCTTGTATGTGGAAAGATGGTCAAGATCTTTCGGTTTTCTTCTTTCTCCCTTCAAGGTTATCTACATCATCAGAAATCCAAAGGATGTTCTTGTGTCTGGCTATCATTTCTGGAGTAGATCAAGGTACATGAAGAATCCACAGTCTCTGCAGCAGTATTACGAATGGTTCATCCAAGGCAGTGGTGAGTGGGTTGTGAAATGAGAGGATCTAAACATGTGTGTGTGTGTGTGTGTGTGTGTGTGTGTGTGTGTGTGTGTGTGTGTGTGTTGTGTGTGTGTGTGTGTGTTTGCTGGTCCTGGGGTTTGAGTTCTGGGCCTGGGCATTTTCTCTTACTTTTTCACTCAAGGCTTTGGCTTTACCACTTGAGCGACACCGCTACTTCCATTTTTTTGTGATTAATTGAAGATAAGGATCTCATAGACTTTCCTTCCTGCAGTGGTTTAGAATCAAGAGCCTCAGGTGGCAGTTTCTTGAGTATCCTGGATGACAGGATGAGCCACCGACGCCCAGATAACTATGAGATATATAAATATATATATAAAATATGTATACACATATATACATATATGTATATGTATGTATGTATGTATGTATGTATGTATGTATGTATGAGTATTGTTGGTAGAGGAGCTTAAACACTGGGCATGGGCACTATCTCTAATCTTCTTTTGCTCAAGGTTGACCACTCTCCCATCCAGGTCCCACCCAGCTTAGCTTCTGAGATCAGAGGAGATTGAACATGCTGGGTTTGGTATGGCCATAAACTCAAGGTGACCACTCGAACACTTGGAGATAAGAGTCTCACAGAGTTTCCTGCCCAGGCTGGCTTTGAACGGAGATCCTCATATCTCACCTTCCTGAGTAGCTAGGCCCCTAGCTGAAATAGGATATTTTAACCTGTAAATATACACAAGTGGGGCTGGGAAGGTGGTTCAGTGGTAGAGTGCTTACTTTGCATGCATGAGGCCCCAGGTTCGATTCCTCAGTATCACATAAATAGAAAAAGCCAGAAATGTTGCTGTGGTTCAAGTGGTAGAGCACTAGCCCTAAGCTGAAGACCTGAGGGGCAGCGCCCAGGCCCAGAGTTTAAGCCCCACGACCAACAACAAAAAAAAAAAATATGCACAAGATTTTTGTCATTTATACCAGAAGGAAGCTATGGGGACAAGAGGAAACATGTGGAAATCATAGACCACATCTGGACGTCCAGGAGTTGATTACTTGTCTCTCCTTACCCACCCTGCAGTGCCGTATGGGTCATGGTTTGCACATGTCCAGGGCTGGATGTCCATGAGGGAGAGGGAGAATGTGCTGGTGCTCAGTTACGAGGAGCTGAAGAAGGTAACGATCCATTTTCCCTGCACCCCACCCTCTGCCCACTCACACTGACACACATCTCTCCTCCTTCATAGACCCCATTCCACTACTCAGACTACACAATACCAGCTACTCAGGAAGATGGCATCTGTGGATTACAGTTCAAAGCCAGCCTGGGCAGCAAAGTCCATGAGACTCTTATTTCCACCAAAGAGCCAGAGTGGAGCTGTGGCTCAAGTGTTAGAGCTAGCCTTGGGCACAAAGGCTCAAGATAGTATGCACACACTGAGTTCAACCATACAACAGACACACACAACTCTCTCTCACACACAGCCATTAACAAAATCTGTGTTGTTCAGAAATCAGCTGTGGTTCACTCTAGTACCTGGTGTATTGATCTTCCTGTGGATAACTGTCAAATTATCACTTGATCCCTGTCCAAATGCCTTGCTCAAGGTCTGGGACATGTCCTGCCTCTGTGCTCTGGTTGTGTTGCCACAAACCATAAAATGACATCCCGGTGCTGGATGCTTGGATCAAATCCTTCTGGTCCTCCTTCCTATTCCTCTCTCATCCCTTCCGCCCTCCCTGCTCCCAGCTCAGCCTCTGTCATAGGAGTCTGTCATGGTCCTTGGCTGTCTGTCCCTTCTTCTCCTCCCTCCACAGCTCCTTCCTCCTGAGAGCCTCTCTGTGTGGTGTCCTGTTTTTCCTTCTTGCAGGACACAAGGAGCACTGTGGAGAAGATCTGTCAGTTCCTGGGGAAGAAGCTGGACCCCGAAGAGCTAGACTTGGTCCTGGAGAACAGCTCCTTCCAGGCCATGAAGGAAAACATGATGTCCAATTACAGCATGGCGAACAGGAATAACTTTCCTGCTGGTGTCCTAATGACCAGGAAAGGTGTGGAACCGCTGTGGTTTAAACATCTGTCAGCGACCAGAAAGGGAATTCTTGACAGATCTCTGCTTTGTGAATTCGGCTTTATGACTTTTCTTTTTTGTCAGTTGTAGAGCTGAGATCGGAGCCAGGGCGCTGTCCCTGAGCTTTTTTACTCCAGGCTCACACTGTGCCACTTTGAGCCACAGCGCCACTTCGGGTTTTCTGGTGGTTCACTGGAGATAAGAATCTCATGGACTTTCCTGGCTGGGCTGGCTTTGAACCACCATCCTTAGTTCTCAGTAGCCTGAGTAGCTAGGATGACACATGACAGCCCACCAGTGCTTGGCTGGGTTTTTAAAATGTGTAACAAGGGCTTGAACTCAGGGCCTAGGCACTGTCCCTGAGGTTTTGTTGTTTTTTTCTTTAGAAATTTTTGCTCAAAGCTGGCCCTCTACCACTACAGCCACAACTCTTCCGGATTTTTAGTGGTTCACTGAAGAGAACAATCTCTCCGACTTTTCTGCCCAGAGCTGACTGCAAGCCTCCATCCTCAATCTCAGCCTTTTGAGTCACCAGGATGACAAGTGTGAGCCACCAGAGACCAGCTGGCTTTATGTATCTACTAGACATTTTTATTTCTTCATCTCAGAATAGCTTTTCAATTCCATTGCCCATCTAATAATTGAAAGATTTTTTTTTCTTTGTCCATATACCTTTAAGCTCTGTGTCCATTCTGGATAATTACATCCAATGAAAACCTGCTGAAGATTCTCTCCCAGTCTGAAAATTGCATTTGTTTTCTTGTTCTTGTTTTGGTGACTAAGAACTTTTATGATTGTTTTTCCAGTCATATTCATCCATTTGTTGTATTTTTTATTAGCTTAGGCTTTAGAATCACATACATCTCTACTATCGAGAGATTTCCCTGTGAAATGGAAGGCTTGGAGACCACATTGAAATCTTCTGGTTCTGCTAGGCCTGTGTTTCTTAGGTTTGGTGTCTTGCTTACTTGTGTTCCATTCTTACTTCTTTCTACCTTCCTGTTTCTTCATTGCCTGTTTGAATGCACCTCCCTGACCGCTGAACCCTGGTGTTCTGTCTTCAGTTTGATCTCCTCTATGGAAGGATTTTCCTCAGAGGTTTTAGGCCTGGGCAATGTCAACTCCATTGTTGAATTCACTGAGATCCTGGTAAACTACTTGGCTTATCAGCCTCTGGTGGCTCAAACCTGAAATCCCTGTCACGTAGGACTTTGAGATCTGGAGATCACGGCTCAAAGCCAGCCCAGGCAGGAAAAGTCTGTGAGACTTTTATCTCCAATTCACCAGCAAAAAGCCAGAAGTGGAGCTGTGACTCAAGTGGCAGAGTACCAGCATTGAGCAAAAAGGCTCAAAGATAGTGCTCAGACCCACTATTGGCACACAGAGACACAGACGCACACACGCATGCACACACACATGCACATACAGTTCTAGATGATTCTTCCTTCTGAGTTCTAGTGTCACAGCAGGTGCATGGCGGGGCCCATATGGGGAGCTGGTGGGCTGGGCCATTCCTGCCCCAGCTGATCTCAGCTTTTCTTCATGGCCTCCAGGCATTGTGGGAGACTGGAAGAACCACTTCACTGTAACCCAGGCTGAAGATTTCGACAAAATATTCTGGGAGAAGATGGCAGGATTTCCTCCAACGCTGTTCCCGTGGGACTAAGGTACAGATTTACCTCAGTGTCTGTGGACAAGAACATTCGTGTCCCTGTGAGGTCAGGGCAGAGATCTGTCACCTGATTCTGATGGTGGTACATTTGATCCCCAGCCTGATAAAAATCACTATGGTACAACTCTTCATTTATAGCATAACAGTTATTATCAAATCTTATAAAGCCAGGAGACAGTGGCTTCTGCTTTGACATTGTAGCTACTCAGGGGGCTGAGATCTGAGTATCCAGCTTCAAAGCCAATAAAGACATGAAAGTCAGTGGGCCTCTTATCTCCAATGAATCAGCAAAAGTTTGGGAGTAGAACTGTGGCTCAAGTGGTAGACTGCTGGCTTTGAGCAAAAAAAGCTTAAGTACAGTACCTAAGTCCTAAGTTCAAATCCCAGGACATTCTCTCTCTCTCTCTTTCTCTCTCTCTCTCTCTCAAACACACATACACGCATACACACACACACACACACACACACACACACACACACACACACACATACACACACACACACCATCCCAGTGATGTTAGAGGAAAGATTTGGTGTTGCTCAAACTTATATTGGTCAGGACAAGGAAAGGAAGTCTGAGAAACTCTCCCTGTCCCCAGGAACTTGAGGAGCAATGGAGATCCATGACCTGGGGGATCATGGCTGCCATCCTGGAGTAGTGAGAGATCCTGGGAGAAGCAGAAGAAATCAGAAGAAAAATGCAGTGAGGATACTTTGCAATGATTTTTGGTTGATATTAGTGAATTGTACATAGGCCCTTGATCCAGAAGTCCAACCTCTCTCTGCAATTTTTGTGATATCTATACTGCTTCTCAAAATAAGTATCTGTAATGTTTTTAATTAATGAAACCTCCATTCAAGCCTATTTTTTCTTGTAGTTCTGGTTCCCTGCTGTGAAGTAAAAAGTAGATGAGGACAGATCACCCTTTGAATGATTGCACATTTGCCGAATAAAAATCCTTGGTGACAATCACACTGTGTTGTTGTTGTTGTTAATTATCAAATTATTTTTTGCAGCAAAATGAAAACAGTTACCGATTGCCTTCACCACCCATGATGACAACCAAGACTCTGCCACCATCTGCACAGTGGCAGTGGTCTGATACCAAGGGCTAGGCACACAGGACCTGCACCATGGCACAGGACTATGTGTGATATGAGGGCATTTTTTTCTCATTTGGGGGTTTCAAACCTAAAGCCATAGAAGCAGCCCATGAGAAGTTCATGCTGAAGGTCAAAGACATCATAATGGTGACCTATCCCAAATTAGGTGAGCCGATGGGGTCGTGGTTGTGTGAGAAAGGCCAGGCCATGTCCCCTTTTCCTCCTGTTTTCCCCATGTGAACCATGTACTAGTAGCTCATTATTAAAGACCTGTGGCCCAGGTGGTAGAATGTCAGGCTTGAGCACAAAAGCTCAAGGACAGCAGCCAAGGCCCAAGTTCAAGCCTCTGGAGTGGTACGCAAGTGCGCGCACACACATACACATACACACACACACACACATACACATACACACACACACACACACATACACAAAATTTTTTGCGGAACCTCCATTGTATATTAAAATGAGAAATATGACTTTGAGGTTACTTTGAGGGATGATGTCACATAAAAGAATCATCTTGGTCCATAGTTGGCAACTGGAAAGCTTGTGGTAAATACAAGGAACTGGCAGGTCAGAGATCCTGTATGAAGGATCATTCACTTGACCACAGGCAAGTCAGTCAGACCTTAGCTTAGCTGGAGGTTCCCACAGCCCGGTTGGAGCATTCCATTGTCAGTCTGGTCAAGGAGGGAGAACAGACCATAGCCTGTTTTTTATATTATTATTATTTTCTGCTTCCTTGTTAAGACCCATATAAGCCCAACCCCAAATCTACCCTCTCACACAACCTCCAATTCCATTGGCTGGTGGGCACAAAAAGTGTCCTGGAATTACAGTGGTGACAGATACTTCTGCCCATAGCACTATAGAATCATGTGATCAGCATTTATCAAAACTTAATCTTAAAAATGAATACTTTTGCTAACAAACAATCTCTTAGAGATAACCAAGACCTAGACAATTAGACCAACTTTGATAGAAAAGCACATTAGCATACGAATGGAACGTCCAATATTTCTTAGATGGACCTCAGTCTCCAGTGCCTGCTGAAGAGACAACTTTTGCTAGCAAGGCACATTAGCATATGAATGATCTTTGAATACTTTCTAGATGGCTAGAGGAGGAGTAAGCTTGGTGGAAGGGTGGGGTTACATGAAGCTAAACCCTTAACCTACCATATGGCCTTACTTTGTCACCCATTTTAAGATTAGGGCACTTTACATCCCAAATTCCAAATTACCAGGGCTAACTTAGGGTCAAAGGAGACTTTGGTTTAGCCAGCCAACTCCAAATGTGAGCCACTCTACTGTCCAAATTTGCTTTTAGTTTAGATTTAGAGAGTTTACCCCATAGTCATCTGAAAATCCCAATTTAAAATTATCCAATATACACTGGAGTGAGATACAAGTGGAACTTTGGCTAGTACCCCCAAATAGATGTCTAAAGAATAAAGGCAATGACACAGACAACAAGGATCCATATTACAAACTGGTGCCAATTCTTAAGAAAACAGAATGAGACAAGACCAAGACAGAAACAAAGAAAAACACAAAATCCTCTACTGGCATCGCAGCCTGAAAGGGACCATCAGTGGGGCCTGCTCCCATCTGATCTCCTCCCACTTTACATCCAAACAGATAGATCTTCAGCAGAAACACAGACAAACAGAAAACAAGAACAAAGAACAACAGAAACTTACTCACCTCCAGATGATTCCTGAGTGACTCCAAAAAGCTGGACCCCAAAAAAGATTTAGTGGAATGTCAGACATCCATGATCCTGGCACTTGAAGTAGCAGAAGAGCCATCAGGCACTAAGAAAACTCTGAGATGTTCTCTGTTCTATGGAGTCTCCCATCCTCTGGCAACCAGTATCGCTGAGGCCATTTGCCAGTGGCTTCAAGAAACCCAGCTGCCCCCATTGGCACTGGGATCTCGTTGGGAACTCCAAATGATATACAGGAATATGTCCACGAGATAACAGAAAAGCCACATTTTGAGAGGTCAGATTGGAGTCTATTATACAGCCAGCCCTTGTGAGCAGACACATGTTCCTCCAAAACTTGCAGGCTCAAAACTGAGTTAAAAAACTCAGTTAGGAAACTGAGACCTGAGGGTAGTAAAAAGAGAGCAGAAAAGCTATCTCAACAAACCAGATCATATCTAATGGAGAGTTGAAGATAAATGACTTGGTGAACTGAAATGAGTCAAGAGACATGAGACATGGTACAAAATGGCAGCTGTACTGATCTGGGCAGAATAGGGCGATGGTTAGCATCACTGGGAGCTCAAGAGCTCGAAGAGTCTTGAAGTTCATGGCCCTCTGGTGGACAAAAAGACTCCTGACAGCAGATTCTCCCATTAGGGATGTAGATATACCACTTCCATAGAGAAATCTATTACTTTATTCATTGTGCAAATTCTGCGGCTTGGAATCAGGGCCTGGGGGCTGATCCTGAGCTTCTCTTCCTCAAGACTAGTGCTGTAAGGCTTGAGTCACAGCCATGTCCGGAATCTACTTCTTTTATTTTTACCCAAGCTGGAAGTGAACAGCTAGCCTGTCCTTGGCTGACCTCTGGTCAGCAGCCAGGCGTGGGAGCTCCAGATTTCCCTTCCCTGACCTCCAGCACTTTCTTCCCCAGAGCCCTTCCTTGCATGCCTTTCCTGGTGATTTTTAAACCGGTGGGAACAAGCTCTTCTGGAACAGTACTGAAGTTAGACATCTTGTTCTCCTTCATCGCCTGGAAGGAACTGTTCTCCAGGACCAAGTCCAGCTCTCCCGGTTCCAGCACCCTGCCCAGGAACCCACAGATCCTCTCTACCATGCTCCTCGGGTCCTAAGGAGAGAAAAACAAGGGCTCAGGTATAAGAGGGGACAACAGAGCAGGACTGAGGAGGAGGGAGCAGGAGAAGAGAGAAACAGCAGAAGGCACTGGCAGGAGAGAGGATGGGTGGCCTGTGAAGTTGGGGGCGTGACTCAGTGGGTAGAGCACCAGCCAAAAAGCAAAACATCAGGTACTGAGTTCAAGACTCCATCTTGAAACAAAAATAAAAAAGAAAGAAAAGGAGGATGAGAGGAATGCAGGAAGGAATAATACACAACAGGATGTAGAAAGTTGTCACAGAAGGTGGGATGGAGACTAGGGGGAGGATAGTGGGGAAGAAGATAGTGGAGGAGCAGGAGAGATGGTAGAAGGGGTGAAGAGGGCAATTTTGGGGTGGGGTGCATGTAAAATCAATCGTTACGTTTTTCATCTGCTCATAACTGAGGACCAGCACGATCTCCTTTTCCCTCATGGACATCCAGCCCCGGACGTGATCAAACCATGACCCGTAAGGCACTGCAGGGGGAACAGTGGGGCAGCGTGAAAAGTCTCCACCATTCCTGATCTGCATGGTGGTCTCAGCACCGATCACTCTGGTCCCTGTAACCTTCAACAGGGTGTAACTGAGAAATAAGTCCTGTCTCTTTATAGCTTCAAAGAGAGAGTATTGGTGGCTCACGCCTGTCATCCTAGCTACTTAGGACACTGAGATTTGAGGATCACTGTTCAAACCAGCCTGGGCAAGAAATTCTATGAGACTCTTATTGCCAATGAAGCACCAACAAACCAGAAGTGGTGCTGTGGCTCAAGTGGTAGAACACTAGCCTTGAGCTGAAGATCTGAGGGACAGTGCCCAGGCCCAGAATTCAGGCCCCACGACCAAACCCCCCCCCCTCAAATAAGAGCTGAGGAATAGCACCCAGGCCCAGAGTTCAAGACCATGACTAAGAGAGAAATGGAGGTGAGGGAGAGAGAGAAAGGGGGAAGGAGAGAGACAGGAAGGGACAGAGGGAGAGAGAAAGAAAGCAAACACAAGCACTGTGGAGCCAGGATATGGATTTCTAAGCAATTTTTTCCTGTAGCACAACCTTTGCCCCATCTGAAGCAGGTCACCGAAGGCCACACCAAAACCTCTGACCAGGACAAAGAGCTCCGCAGGCCCTCACAGAACTCAGGCTGAGGGCCTTCCATGCAAGCTTGGCCCAAATCCATCACTTGCACAACTGAGCACAAGTCTGAGTGCAAGGTCTGAGCTGTGATACATGCACACGAGGCACCTCCCATCCCTGCCATGGCTCCCAGCAGGTCAGTCTGCAGAGGTCTTGGTGTGCTTTATTCTACTGGACACATCTTTGCTTGAAATCAGGGCCAGAGCACTGTACCTGGGTTTTTAATGCTCCTCTCTAACACTTAATCCACCCTTCCACTCCCTGAATCATGATGATTGAGTGGGTATGAGAGCCTCAAGGACTTTCTGCCTGGGTTGGCTTCCAACTCTGACCTTCTGCTCTCAGCTCCTGAGTAGCTGAGATTATAGGCATGATCCACCAGCCCTGACTATAGATCCAAGTGGTAAGAGATGTTGAATCAGGGGAGAAACAGCTCACCAAGCACTTCTTCTGGTTGTGACGCTAAACCCAGAGGGCCTGAGACACCAGATGATGAGGTACACAGAGCACAGATGTGGGGTCCCCCACCCTTCATACCCAACTCAGGCCATGGACCCCTGACAGAACCATGGACAAGTGACAAAATTACAAGCGTGAGGAATGACCCAGAACTTCTGCATGACTAGAAACAGAGCGACCCCAACTTCAAGTGAGAAACTCTGACATGGACAGCCAAACAAATTTAAAACGTAAAAATACGTAGGGAAGGTAGAGTTGGGCTGTGTGGGAAGCCAGTGAGAAGCTGTGAGCCAACATCTGGGAGTAGAGCACACAGGAGGGGGCGGGTCCTCCATGGCTACGGAAGCTCCAGGGGCTCAAAACACCTTGAGACCTTCCATCATGGGAGAAGTCTGGTGCTGCCTTTAGCCAAT